TGTCTATGTCTGTCTGTAAATATGTCATTATGTGTGTATGAATGTCAGTGTATGTATGTCTGCATGTCATTATGAATGTGTGTATGTATGTATTTCAGTGTCTGTATGCATGTATGTCTGTCTGTATGAATGTATGCCTGTATGAATGTATGTCTGTATGTCATTATGAATGTATGTCTGTGTATGTATAGATGTCAGTATCTGTATGCCAGTATGAATGTATATATGTCTGTCTGTATGTCATTATGAATGTGTGTCTGTATGTATGTTAGTATGTGTCTGTCTGTCACTATGTACGCCTGTGTGTCTGTATATGTGTGTATGGCTCAGTATGTGTGTGTCAGTATGTATGCCTGTTAGTATGTATGTATGTATGTGTGTGTGTGTGTATCTGTGTCCTTTTGTATCAGTGAATGTGTTTGTGTCTGTGTGTGTATTCCTGTGGGTGGTCTTGCAGGCGGTCCCTGTGGGCGGTCTTGGAGGCCAGACCCTGAGCTCAGTTAGGGGCCCCAAAATTTCGGGTGGCGGCCCTCGCTGCGGTGTTACCACGGCAATGCTCTCATACTATCAACGCGAGAGGAGGGCTCCTGTTCTGCAAGGTGCAGACCTTCAAGAGCTAGCAGAGACCGCTGGACCACTAGGTCATCAGTATTCCCCCATCCCTGCCCAAAGGTATGCAAGAGGGAGGGAAGCAGAAGGGGGGAATCAACACTCCATTACACACACACTACATAATCTACTCACACACAACATCCCCTATACACACACTACATAATCTACTCACACACATCCCCTATAAACACACTATGTTCTCTACACACATACACACTAGATAACTCACAAACACTACAAAACGTACACACTATGCTCTCTATACATACACACTACGTAACTTACACCCATACACAATACATTCCCTAGACACACATACTATGTTCCCTAAACACATACACCCCTATACACACACTGTTTCCTACACACATACACATTACATCCGCTTTGCACACACATTTCATAACCTACACACACACACACACACACACACTACATCCCCTATACACACATACACACACACACACACACACTACATCCCTATCCCACACGACACTGTCTTCCCTACACACACTGCATCCCTATTCCACACACAACATAATGGCATGGCAACTTCAACGAGACAGGACACTCTTGTTAGAAATAAGTTTTTACTCCTAATGCTAGAGTGTTCATTCACATAGGTTTGTTTTTCCCAAATCTATACATGTGGGAGGAATTCTTCTAGCCCATATATATCTAGAAATTTCTGCTCTTTAAAAAGAGGCTGCTCACTGTTTAATAAACAGTATAGCGGTAAAATAAGCGGTATAGCGAGTAGGGGCATAATTTACTAATACTAAGTAATCTTTACTTAGTATTAGTAAATTTGGCTGAAAGACCAATTCAGATCTTTCAGCCTTTTAGTAGATAGCTCCTTAATACCGTGGGAATTAGGGAGTTATCTACTTATTCATTCCTGTCAATCCATTGACAGGCTAAGTAACTTACATTTTATATGAATGTGTGTTACTTGATTGTTGTAAGTGTTGCAAATGCTTACGGCTGAATACTGGCTATGTTTGTATACTTTTTATTTAAACTTGTATACAGTGTAACATTCTTCTTCTTCCACTGGGTAAGTATATTAGTACTTAGGCAATACTGTGCTTCGGAACTTCGGTAATTTCGGAAATTCGGCAATTCAGCACTTCGGCTATTCGGATGTATCCGAATGTCCAAATTGCCCGAAATTCGTCCGAATTCATATTCGGGCCGAAACGAATTGCACATGTCTACAGAATATGACGTCATATTCTGGCGCCCGGCTTCAGTACAGATGGCGCGCGAGAGGGAGCAGTGAGGAGCAGGAACACTGAGCTCCCTCGCTAACTCTCCTCGCCGGCCAGGCGAGCAGAGTAGACACCTGCCATGTGGGGAAAGCAAGTGCCTACTCTGCTATAACACTGAGCATGTACTCGCGGCTCGCCGGGCCGCAAAGATAGTCCTTGTGGGCCGCGAGTTTGACATGCTTGCTGTACAACTAATTTTTGCTGCAGACGGTTTATATCTGCACATATTTTATAAAGAGAGCACTATATTGCCTTGTTTTTTTTTTTTTTTGAACATCCTAACTCAGATAGCTGTTGGAAGTACCATCACTTATATTCTACCAGTGGGGGACTAACGCCACTGAATGCGTATCACACCAGATCTTGTACTGGCTCCGTAATATGTGAGTAGGACCATTACGCTTTATATATCACTGATTTGTTTGTGACATACCACACCATTATAGTTTTTTCTTCTTTTTTATGGTCAAAACAGACTGAAGGAGCAGTAATCTCCAGATTCCCACAGGAAAACCAGCTGAAATAAGGTCCCCACGTCACTTACTGTACCTTATATTTTTGGACTTTTTAGTTTTTATTTCTATTATTTGTATATTGGACTGTTCTGATTGTATCTTATTTTTTTACCTACTGATATTTTTATCACTATTTTAATATTATCTATTTGTGGCGCAATCTATTTCTGTTCTATTATATGATCGTAAAGACCCAAAAGTCAAGATGTATTCAGGAAAATGCTGTTGGTCTTGGAGTGTGCCAAATAATCCAAGTAAGTAAGGTTCCATAAACTTTCAATGTATGTTCTATTGATCAATGACAATTATTTTAGAAACAGAATGCTTCAGTTCTGAGTTAAAACTGTACAACATGGATTTATTGATATAAGATAAAAGAAATGCATGAAATAGAATGTAGTTAGTTGATCTGGTTTTATGTAAAGTAATTGTAGAGTAATTGAAAACATTTGAAATTGAAGCAACCACCCACTTGTCCTGAATTAGTTCACAACAAATCTGTGTCATCGAGAAAAATGAAGACAAACGACTTGTACATGCGACCTAATGTCTAGGAGTCATCTCCATTCCATACTCAACATCACCTGTCTCCTGTCCAATGCTGGTCCCGCAGTTTCAAACATTCAAACCAAAAGAAATATATAAGATGTTCTTGAGACAAAAGGAACAGCTAATAATCATAAACCCAACCTATATATTAAAGCAAAAGTGAATAGCTTCCAATGTAAGATAATTCTTGGCCTAATCTTGATAACGTTTAAATGGTTACCAAAATTAAAGGTACTCTAGGAGCACCAAAGTAAAGGAACACTATAGTTACCTAAATTACTTTAGCTAAATAAAGCAATTTTAGTGTATAGATCATTCCCCTGCAATTTCACTGCTCAATTCTCTGTCATTTAGGAGTTAAATCACTTTGTTTCTGTTTATGCAGCCCTAGCCACACCTCCCCTGGCTATGATTGACAGAGCCTGCATGAAAAAAACTGGTTTCACTTTCAAACAGATGTAATTTACCTTAAATAATTGTATCTCAATCTCTAAATTGAACTTTAATCACATACAGGAGGCTCTTGCAGGGTCTAGCAAGCTATTAACATAGCAGGGGATAAGAAAATCTTAATTAAACAGAACTTGCAATAAAAGCCTAAATAGGGCTCTCTTTACAGGAAGTGTTTATGGAAGGCTGTGCAAGTCACATGCAAGGAGGTGTGACTAGGGTTCATAAACAAAGGGATTTAACTCCTAAATGGCAGAGGATTGAGCAGTGAGGCTGCAGGGGCATGTTCTATAAACCAAAACTGCTTCATTAAGCTAAAGTTGTTCAGGTGACAATAGTGTCCCTTTACTTTAGCATAATAAAGCAGTTTGGTGTATAGATCATAGCCCTTTAGTGTCACTGCTCAATTCTCTGCCATTTAGGAGTTAAATCACTTTGTTTATGCAGCCGTAGGCACACCTCCCTGCATGTGACTTACACAGCCTTTCTAAACACTTCCTATACAGTGAGATCTAATGTTTACATTTCATTTATTGCAAATTCAGTTTGATTTGGAATGTGTTATCTCCTGCACTGTCAATAGCATTCTAGACCCTACAGGAGTCTCATGTGTGTGATTAAAGTTCAATTTACTGAGCAGTAGATAAAATCTTATAAAGCAAGTTAATATCTGATTGAAAATGAAACCATTTTGTTTTCATGCTGGTTTGTGAGTCACAGGCAGGGGAGGTGTGACTAGGACTGCATAAACAGAAACAAAAGTGATTTAACTCCTAAATGGCAGAGAATTAAGCAGTGACATTGCAGAGGCATGATCTATACACCCAAACTGCTTCATTAAGTTAAAGTTGTTTTGGTTACTTTAACAAGCAAGTGAGTGAACACAATTTAGACAAAACCTTAATATAGTGCAAAATAAAAATATCAAATTCTGATTAAAAAAAATAAAAAAAAATTACCATAAACTACATGCCTGTATCAAAAATAAACTAGATACAATAGACCAACTATTCAGGCTTAAAAAAACAACATATAGAGTTAAATTCCAAATGTAAAATGGGTGAAGTCCTTTGTGACTTGAATTAAGGTAAAACTCCATATAAAGACATTTTTGCTAATGCCTCTCTTTACCATGTGTATGATGCAAGACAGGAAGCAGATATTTGGGAGTTTTTTATTTAAATGATCTGCAAAATGAAAACAGAAACTATAACCTTTCCATAATTTCTGTTATCTACCCTGAATTCTTGCATCACTTTCTGGACATTACTTTCTACATTTGCAATTCAAATACAGTAATTCAAGTAATTCACTTTCACGAATGTAACGTATCTTATATAAATGTAAAAATTGGTATTCACTACAGGGAAATTACAATACAAAAATATCTAGTCGCATGTTAAAAACAGATCATATATTTTTATACCGTACAGTAATAAAGTCGAGACCTGGTGATCTCATGGTGCCTGGAAGAGAATAAACCATAAGTAACGTTGAGAATGGGATCCATTGACCCCTGGACATGAATAGACAATTTGAAGCAGTAATTGGCCTTAAAGGGGCTGCACCAATAACCACAACCATTATAGTTTATTGTTAGAGTCTTTGGGTGCAGTTTGTGCCCTTTTCAAACTGCTTAACATACACTAGGGCTCTCCTGGCAATTGAAGCCTGGCCCCTCTACTCTGGATCAGAAAATGTGTAAGTGAGCTTCCAAATTGGTGATCGTCGGATGTCAGTGATAGTCTCGCAGTGTATCATTGCAAGTTTGGATAGATAATGCAAAAATGAACGAGGGGTTAATGTTGGAGTAAAGCAAGCCCATACATCTTTTATTTTTCATTTGCAATTTGTGTTTGCTCTAACAGCACCACAGAACTGAGAAGAGCAGCCTGCGGCTCACTAATGAGGCACAGAAGGCCGGCACACATACCCAGTCACAAAGCACTAGGGAGCCCAATTGATGTTGCAGAGTAAGCTGGATACCATTTAAGGTCCCATTACTTGAAGGGTTTACTCCAAACACATTGACCTTTAATAAGCCAGGTGAAAGTTATATGAACGGGGAGGTGTTGGCTACGATGTTTGTGATGGTTTAGATTGATGGGAAGAGTTTAAATAGGTTTGTATGCTGCATACTGACCAACAAATCTTCCATCATAAAGAATATGACACCTCATTGTTTAAAGGAATCAACAGGTGTTCCATCATCCATAACAAACCAATGGTATTGCAATGTCTGTGGTTCCATAAGGAGTAGTTTCACTTTTGTTGGAGGATATTACTGGTGATATACACCCGCTGGTAAATGGCATGTTAGTTTGACTTTGGTGAAATGGACTCTAGTAAATGAACCTCATAATAGTTTCTGTTTATTGCTAGCTTTCTTGATAAAAAAAAAAAAAAAAATACATGTATCAATAATTTGCCTGGGGACTTTGTGTTCATTTGTTTTATAAAGTATTTACTATTGAACAGCTTTTAGAGCCCTTCATATCACAGACACATGTACACATGTAAACACTGTATTTGTTATACAAAGACTTTTATTTACATCACTTGTTCTGAGGTAGAACGAGAGGAGAAAATGAAGCAGAATTATATGAGAAGGAAATGTAGATATGACAAAAAAAGAAACTTTAAAAAAAATGCATTTTTCACAGCTAACCATAACCTTTGTTTTGTCAGTGTCCTACAAAAAAACGGGTGTCTTGTCACTCAGAACAGAGAAAGTATGGCGATAGACAGACTACATAAATGGAATGAGGTGGAATGTAATGTTAGTAGCCAGATTGATCGGACTTCCTGTCCAGCCCAGGAGATGCCAGGTTCCTCAAGCTCCTTCCCTGACATAGTCAAAGCCTCTGAACAAACTTTGCTCTTCGTTTCCAAGAGGCCGAGGTTCCCTTGGGGGAGTCAGCTCTGGTCCTTCGGACGTAAATTCTGGGTCAAAGTTACTAATATCATGTGGTCCCTTCACCAATGGTGTAAATGGGGGTGGCAGACGTCTAGAAAGTAAAGCATCAAAATCCATTTCCTGAGGAGAAAAATACAAAACAAAAAAAAACATTGTAACTCCACTAGTCTACCTCACTACATCAATAGCCACCATTCCACACTTTAAACGCAATAATCATCGTCACACTACACAGCTCTGTTTTAGTATTAGCAGATACTGTTTCACAATGTCTGTCACTGCACCAATCAGGGAATTGCATTCCACTGCACAGACATCACACTATAGAATTATGTCTAAATGTTCCCCACCTTGAAAAATGGCTGTTTCTTCACATCTTCAGCATCTTTTTCTCCTGATCCCAGACGCCTCTCTGGATTCCTGCGCAGGAGCTGCAGACCAGAAATTTTAAATACCCAGTTATAAAAGGGTAATAAAAAGGGGTTATAGAAAAAAAGGACTTGTGGTAGGGATTAATAGATAGCTCATACATTGTAATCTTGTTCTTTACTTTTAGATATCCCTATTCTATTGTTATAAAACTCTGCAGAATATGCTGATGCTATATAAATGCTGATAATAATAATTAATGGTACACTGCCATGCTGTATGGCAAAACTGGACGGGACATATTGTGCATTGTTGTATTGGAAGAGGAGTAGGATTTTAGTTTGAACTTATATGTGCTGGGTATTTACATTTTCACTTTTTTCATTTATTACTAACTTCAGCCGAATCTGCTGGCTACATTACATTTTTTTTAATTTTTTTATAAATTTCACACAGATTTCAGTTTTGTGAGGAATTACACAGGAAGTGAAATACCCCAATACTGACTCTGAGTAAAGCAATAGCCCCGTGCAAGATTTTAGAAAAGTTATATGCTCGATTTACAGACATGCCGAATGATTTACTTGGTCTATATATGACTTTTGGATTTAAATAGGAGTCAGGAGATACACTTCACTCCCACCATGGCATGTTATTTGTAAAAGAAGACAATTTGGACTATTTAATGTAGGGCATTTTAAATCTATTCACTTGTGCATTAGTGATGTCGCGAACCGTTCGCGAACTTCACGCAAAAGGCTTGCCACGGTTCGCCACGAACCGTTCGCGGCAAGCTCCGGTCAGCTGACACATCCCGGCCAATCTCCAGCAGACCCTCCCTTCCAGACCCTCCCACCTCCTGGATAGCATCCATGTTGAAGGCAGCTTCGGTTCGCGACATCTCTATTGTGCATTTCATCACTAATTTCTGCCAAATCTATGATGCTTCTTTTCACAATACATATTGAACTTTAAAGGACCGCTATAGGCACCCAGACAACTTCAGCTCAATGAAGTGGTCTGGGTGCCAGGTCCATCTAGGATTAACCCTGCCTGCTGTAAATATAGCAGTTTCAGAGAAACTGCTATGTTTACTTTAGGGTTAATCCAGCCTCTAGTGGCTGTCTCATTGACAGCCGCTAGAGGCGCTTCCGCGCTTCTCACTGTGATTTTCACAGTGAGAAGATGCCAGCGTCCATAGGAAAGCATTGAGAATGCTTTCCTATGGACTGGCTGAATGCGCGCGCGGCTCTTGCTGCGCATGCGCATTCAGCCGATGACATCAGAAGAGGGAGGAGAGTCCCCAGCGCAGGGGGATCCCGGCGCTGGAGAAAGGTGAGTGTTTAACCCCCTTCCTCCAACTTCAGCCCGGCGGGAGTGGGACCCTGAGGGCGGGGGCACCCTCAGGGCACTATAGTGCCAGAAAAATGAGTTGGTTTTCCTGGCACTATAGTGGTCCTTTAAAGGTGAATTTTTCAAGCCTTGTTCTACTACTGTACTTTGAAGACCCAGGATGTGTATTTTGCTGCATCTCCCAAGTATAGCAATACCCACATATTTACATTTGTCCTATTTTTTGGTTACCTGTGGGGTCAATTTAGAGACATTATAACATTCCTCTTTGCAGAAGTGACACTCTCTGTCTCACCATACTGAGTCACACTATTTGTAACCTTATTGAACCACCGATATATAAATATATAATCTTATTTAATTCAATCTAACCCCAAGTAACATTAACCCTAACTCTTTCTAACCTTAAGCCAAGCTAACCATAGCCAAAACTAAACCTAACACTAACTCTAGCAATGCACTGATTACTGTATTGAACCCAATTATAACACATGGATAACCATTTACTGAAGTGGGGTGCTGTATAGACTTCCGGTATTGTCACAGCAGTAATAAATTCCTGGCTTGAAAAAGGTTTCTTTTTGAGCCAAAACATTGCTCTGTGCGTGCCTACTGCTATGCACTAAATAAAACAGCGTTACATTATTTTTGGTGAGTGATGGACCCTTTTTTGAAGTGGATTGACCCCATCAGCTGACAGCTAAGGAATGTTATTACTGTAATTGGCTCCTAGGCTGATCAGTGATAGATCATTATTCCAACGATAGAACATTATCACAGTGTTTACTGGCTGGCTGCAGTCTAGTGTGGGATCCACCAATATTGGGAAACTGTGACGTAGTACTGGGCTTAACCCAATATGAATCCCCATATTTGTTTGCTGAGATAGGTGAATTTAAGTAACCTTGTAAAATGTAAAATTCAATTTTTGTGTAAGCTTTCCTTAATCTGTATTTTGTATGAATGTTAGTCCAGCAATATAACATTATCACAGTGTGTATTGGGCACAGAACCTGTCTGCAGCCCAATGGATTGCTGCCAGGGAAGGCTGTCAACACTATTGCTGGATGTAAAATGGGTGGCATGTAATGGAAGCTTCCACTGCTACCAATTGTCTTTGATGGAATTTGGCATCAAACTAATGAGGCAAAATGGTTAAGTAGGAAAGGGTTACATACATTACATACAATGCTTATAAAAATCACACACTGTAGGATAAAAATAGAAAGATATTAGGCCAGCCCAGAAGAATGCTTTATCCATAGCTGTTGACCCTTAAAGGGGAAATCTGGTCAACCTCATTTACTGTCAGAATGGCTGCTCTGTATATTATACGCTCACCCGTCTCATTATAGCGATGGCTTCAGCAGACAGGAATCGTGGGTAACGGACTTCATCATTAACAATGCTGTCAAACACCTCCTCTTCCTCATCACCCGGGAATGGAGACTGAGACAGGTTTGAAGAGAGAAAGACAAACAACATTAGACAAGAAAGGATTTAATGGAAGACAAATTCACTGTTTTGGCTACTCGTCACATCCCAGCTATGAAAATGTTAAAACAAGGATTTTTTTAGAACTATCATGAAAGAATCACAAATAGCAAATTTTTTCATAAATAAAATCTTTGTTTTAAAGGTAATCCATCATCAAAGCTCATTTTACTATTGTGTATAAAGTACAGGAGCTCTCGGTGTCAACACAAAGTACTAGGATTCCTGTAATTAGAAACTAATTAACCAATTAACAATACATAACACTAGTTACAAAACTAATGAATAGAGGACCCCAGTGCAAGAGTTTTATGGAGGGTTTTCCACCACTTTCCTTTCAATCCTCTTAATAAGTATATCCTGCCATTTAAATCTTCACACCTCCTGCTAATTATGCTGTTTCCCCTAATAATCAGATGCTAACATAACTGCCAGTTTACCCCCCTTCCCAATTCATATCCTCACTGTCTGAAAAAAAATACATACAGAGAGGCAGTCACACATATAAAGGCACACTGAAAAAAATAAATTCTAACAGATACTGCACCCAATAACACAGAATACACTCACTCATGGATATACTCAAGGGGTGTAGGAATAAAGTTGGCTAAAGGGCCGGGCAGATCAATATTATTTGATTTTCTATGTGAATACATGATAGGGGCTCTGTTTGGGTGAACCTCGCTTCTAATGGTTTCACACATCAGGGGGTGTCGACTATATCTCCATTTTATCCATATTATTGCCTTGATATAACTGGGGCCATCTCATAGCTACATATCTTTGTGAAGGCACAATAAGCAGATTGTATTTCTGTGCAAGGTGCCTCGAATGTTATCTCTATCATTGCCATGGAAATCCTACCACACATTAACAAGCTTTATTCCTTTTACCTCTCCAACCATCATTTCATAAATCAGGACTCCAAATCCCCACCAGTCAACAGCCCGAGTATATGACGCATCCGTGAGCACCTCTGGAGCTAGAAATTCTGGCGTGCCACAGAATGTGGATGTTCGATCAGATGGACCCATACCTGTCAAAAAGAAATAGAAAAATGAGACACATTTTACATAAAGGCAATCGCTTCAGGGTGGCGAGGAGGCAGACATTTTAAGAATATGTATAATGAGGAAAAGAGGGGTATGCACTAGAAATAGTTATAATGAAATGTGATTTCCTTGCCTTAATATTGTTCAGTATTAATTAGTAAAGATGCATAAATCACAAAGAATATAGATTTCTGCAGTAGCCAAAATTGTAGCTTTTCTGATAACTTATTTATGCAGAATATAACATCTTTATAATTAATGTATCAACATTGCCCCTATTACGTTTTTAAATATACAAACCCTGTACTAAAATAATCCTTCTGTTGTAACAGTTCTGCCATTGACCTTGAAACGGTTAAAGTGAGATCATTAAGTGAAAAATAAAAAGCAGATTTTGGTTGCTTAAAATATAGTAATATTTTCTTTAATTTCAATTTATGTAAAATTACTCATGTTTGCTATGTTTAAATGCATCAGTTCTGTGCAATCCACAATTAGGGCACATGCCTTTTAAAAAACGAATTAACATTTATTTAAAAAAACAGTTTTTTGAGTTTTAGTGAACAAAGAAAGTTGCATTTTATATCAGACAGGAGGCTGCCATTAATGTATTGGCAACTCTACAATTTCTGGTCCCTGACTAATACTTGAGTTCTTAGAACACTGAGAAGCCAATCAGGCATTAGCTAAGATGTTAAATGCACAATTTGCATATTTGTAAACCTGCCTCTCAGTACATGTATTTTTAAACTTGAATGTTTATTTGAACTTGCCTCGCTGTGCTTTTAATATTAAAACCACTTATAATAGTACATTACTTAATCCTTTAACATTGAGCAGCACTTTCATTACTGCTGCTCAGGAGGAAGATTAGCAAATAACATGCTAAGTTATTGTATATGGTAAATATTAATAAACTATAAAAGCATCCTGGAAGAGCATGGAGACAATTAACAAAAAGCACACCGAATTCTCACTTACCCTCTTTACAGAGTCCGTAATCTGCTAGTTTTACATAGCCTTCAGAATCCAGCAATAAATTATCCAGCTTCAGGTCCCTGCACGAAAGACAGACATTAACAATTTCAACCACACTGGGGTACTTTACTAATGACCAAATTTGCAATAGCAACCTTGATCCTTAAAAAAGCTTAGTCAGTTTGTGGTACTTTGATTCAGATTAAATATTTATATCAGCCAAACTAAAGACAAAAAATATATCAAAAATAATAATCAATTAAACCAAATGTATCCCTAATTAAAATAAATGTATTGCTCAAATTAATTAATAGTTATTTCACTGTTAAAACTGTGCAATGGAACTGATGAGTGGCAAGTTGCATTTATGGGAGCCATATGTTATCGGATCAGTCCCAATGTCTAGGGATTCTATGCCAATCCCTGTTCAGCAGTACAGTTTAATGGAGATTAGACTGAATCCTTCCAACCTATACAAACGTTTGGAGGAGGAAGGATTTTGGGTACTCTCAGTTTACGTCACTTGAAAATAGTTTGACAAACTGTTCACTCTATGTCTCCTATCAATAAGCCATAGTTGCTGTGGTGATTGAAGTGTCATTTTAACAACATGGCCACAGTCAGCAGAATTATTTATCCTGACATATGGATCAATATCAGTCTCTCATTTGGATGGAATGAAATTCAGTTTATATTCACAGATGAAAAAACACGGATTGTTCAAAAAATATTTAATGTCGGACATTATGTATAGGCAAAAAATATTTTAAGATAATACCTAATAGTGGCCACAGGAGACGACTAGAAAGCAATTATAAAATGTCAATAAACTTTTTAATTTCTTACTAGCAGCTCTCCAAATCAAGTTCTGGTTTTCCCATAACATTCAATGAGACCATGTGTGTTGTTCTTACCTATACACGATGTCCTTACTGTGTAAGAACTGTAGGCCAAGGAGTACACAAGCAGCATAGAACCTGAGGAAAATAAAACAGATAATGTAATTATATGATAGATAAAAAGATCATGAGGATCAATAGAAAGATCATAGAGTAAAAGACAGATAGACAGACACAGAGAGAGAATGACAGACAGAGTGGATGAGGGAAAAAGATAAATGTTTGTGGGATTGTTATAAAATTAACGAATTATGATTTAGCGGAATATAAGCCAAGACCGGTGGCGTACATACGATCCATGGGGCCCTGGTGCGAAAACGGATCTATGGGCCCTCCTTCCCACTCTGACTCCCTCCTCTCCTTCCTCCTCCAGTGCGCGGTGGTTGCTGGGTGGAAGTGATGGGGCAGTCACTTCCTCCCAGCTTCTGACATCATCAGAGGGTGCCCGGTCGCGCTGTTAAAGTGCAGCACTGACCGGGCCCCATGGAAATTAATGGGCCACCATATGGGCCCCTTCAATGTGGCCCCGGCAGTTACACCGTGCTGGCTGGGACCGCAGCACATGGCGGTGGGCAACCGGTCACATGGGTCCGCATGGCGGGCCCCCTGGAGTGACGGGCACAGTCGCAGCTGCAACCCTTGTATGTACGCCACTGGCCAAGACTACATATATTACAAACCTCTCCCTTGCCCTCCCCTGTAGCGTGGCCGAGCTGCTTGCTGGTCCGCGGTGCCGGCCGGACTGATGCTACAGTGCGTGTGAGTGTGCACTTCGGTCATTTAAATGTGAGGCTAATAACTAAAACTCCGCGCGGAACTGGAGTTTCTGTTTCCTGTAACCGGCCGGACGGGCAGGAAGTGCACACTATTGTTTCTTCTGCCTATCAGATTTTTTTTTGTAGCGGACCAGCTCGGCCACGCTACAGGGGAGGGGAGGAGAGGAGCAGCCGCAGCCGCCTGAGGCTCTTAACAGAGCGCTCAGGCGGCTGCAGCATTTAAAGGGCCGGCCCTTCAGTGGCCGGTCCCAACAGATTTTAGGGCGGCCTGGGGGGCAATTGCCTCCCTGCCCCCCGGCCCAGCCCGCCCCTGATAGCAGACACAGAATAACCTCCACCTAAACACGCAGGACGAAGCTCAGCAAAAACATGTGTTAAACTATAGCAGTACACAAACTACTTAAGGTGTGTAAACATACAAAACCATTGATTGATATGTCAAGAACATTGACAAAAAAAAAAAGCACTGCTCAATCTTTAAACTAAAGTGATGGTTTCAAAAAATATGTCAAATACAGACAATTGTGTGTTGATCATTCACATCAAGAACATTTTCTGAAAACTGAGATTAAAAGCATCAATAATAAAAGGCCACACATAAAATGGAGATGCACAGCTGTTCTTAATGCATTTTCTGAGTATTGCTCTTATCCTTACTTTGAGTGGTTAATCCATGGTTTCCACCTAAAAGTACTCCCGTAACATTCTTTAACTAGTGGTAACTCCATGGCATACAGACAAGGTAAGGTATGAACATTATTGTTAAATGCCGTGCTCTCAATCCTAGACTCTATTAACATGCATGAGTAGTAAAACTTACATTGCACGTGCCTGGCTGAACACTTCACTATGGATATGGGTCATTAGGTCTCCGCCGGCCATGTAGTCCATAACAAAGCAGACATGTTCTGGAGTCTGGAAGCAGCCCAAGAGACTGAGCAGAAAAGGGTGGGAGGCTCCACTTACTGCAACAAACACTCGCTTCTCACACAGAAGGCTTTGGAGAGACAGAAATAAAAAAAAATGTTGAATTGGAAAAAAACAAGGATCAGGAAGCTGAAGAATAGTCCCAATAAATCTATAATATATATATATGTATATATATATATTTTAAATTAAGCAAATTACATCAGAGTCTTTAGGAAAGGTTAGTTATGCTTAAAAATGCTTTTTATCAATGTAATCTTTATGATATCTTTATACCTCTTTATTTTTTTAAATTCATGTTTATTAAATTTATTGAAGAAATCCTTTGCTTGCCTTTCTGTCTCTTGATGTCTGCAGCAAATACTGTCAGGCACACCTACCTACTACAAGCCAGGCAGAAAGAGTGCTCGATTTTGAAAAGGACAATTGGAATTAAAAAAAATTGAGATTTGGGACAGATAACTGATAATCGAAGGTGCATGATGTCTGTCAGAGAGGGTAATGGGAAAAGTTGGCAAGGGATATCTTCAAAAATTCAAATGTGCATACATTTAAAAACAAAAATCAAAATGTGAAAAAATTAGATGGGATATTTTAATAGAAAGATTATACAAAAAATACTGGTTTTGGTTAAAGTAACTCTTCCTATCCTGGCATCAGATGCCAATTTTGTACAGAATTCCCCTTTGTCAGCCTGGAGGAGCTGGCTAATGATGCCCTAATGACTCGGATGGAGGTGCAGTTACATCACTGGCAACAGAGGGGATGCACTCTGTATTTGCAATTTTTCAATGCGAAACACTGCACAAACAAATTTCTGGCACTATGACCACTTCAAATCAGTAACATCTTTCCTTTAATGTAGTAGGGTAAAATATTTCAGATTCTTTAATGTTCTGCACCTGAATCTACACACAAAATGCACGTTTCTCTAGAATAAATAAACTCCACACATTTATGTTAAGCAGGTGGACACCAAAGGAACACCAAATATTGAAATTTGTATATTTTGAAAAAAATTGTCTTTAAAGATAGCTCTGGTCCGTGTTGACAGCTTTTTGTCTATTTGTACAAAGTGTTTGTCTTTTAGCTCCGTTTTACATGGCCCTCGTCATATGGTGATGATGTCCCTCCACCATGTGTATTCTCACCTTTCAACCTCATCTCTGGCTATGATGTCTCCTTTCTTCAGGGCTTTTATGGCATACAGTTCTCCAGTTTGTTTATACTCAGAGAGCAGGACCTGTGATAAAGATGAAATGTGCAGCCCTGAGTGATGATGTAACACAGCAGAAGAATATGAAGAAATAGACTGCTTGGACGAAACCCAAAACATCTTTAAAGAGAAACTGTCTTGTGCTGAAGAGCATACCGAAGGGACAGCCTGGACTTCAAAGGGTACTAAGAGCACACACATTCCCTTAGTAAATACTCCCAGAATAAGTCACATTCCAAAGAAAATAAAACTCCCAACAGTCCAGCCCTGTAGAGAGGCTACAACACAAGATCTACAAATAGCTTAGATACTAGATAGAACTGAGGATCTAAACATGTTCTTAGACTGCAGAAAAGACACCCTTAAAAGACTAAAGGAAAAACACATAATTCTGTGAAAACAAATCAAACTAAGTTTAATAATAAATGACCAGTGTTACAGATCAAGGACCTCCAGGAGCTAACACAGCAACCTGTTACTTCAGCGCTACTCTAGCAGATCAAGTTTCTTCAGTGGTCTCCCATAACCATCAGCCAGCTATTGGATAGACTGACTAAAAACATCGCCCGCATCTGCCCCTTTCACACGCAAGATGCTGCCAAGGAGCTTGTTCATGCTCTGGTAATCTCTCGCATGGATTACTGTAACTGCCCCGCTACAATCAGTAATGAATGCTCCCACCAGGCTTATCTTTCTCACTCATCGCTCCTCCCATACCTCGCCCCTCTGTCGATACTTACACTGGCTTCCTCTATCCTATAGGTGTCAATTCAGAATACTAACTCTTATCTATAAAGCTCTAACCAACTCTAGCCCCTCTTACATTCCTACACTGATTCATAGATATGCCCCTTCTCGGTCTCTCCGCTCTTCCGGTGACCTTCTCCTGTCCGCTGCTCACACCCTTACTGTTAACTCACGCTTGCAGGACTTCTTGTGGACGGCTTTCATCCTTTGGAACAGCTATCCCCCCTCGTCTTCAATTGTTTAAAAAGTCCCTCAAAACACATCTGTTCAGAAATGCTTATGGACTCCGAGAGTAACTTATCTATACTTATCTGTCTCTTGCTCTCCTACAGAGCCATACTCCACTCTCACCTCCAGTTCTGCTACTACCTTGTTTGGTGGCTGTCACCCTTGCTGCCGTGTTGTGTATTTGTACCCCATCTCCTCTAGACTGTAAGCTCATTTGAGCAGGACCCTCATCTACCTATTGTTCCTCTGCCACTGTGTAATTGTCTCATTTATTGTAAATTTCCCCCCTTTTCATACTATTGTAAAGCGCTGCGGAATTAGTTGGCGCTATATAAATACCAATAATAATAATAATAAATAGCCAAACACTAGAAAAGGTTTAGTGCAGAGACAAGACAACTGCTTTATTCAACAACAGGAAGGGTATGTGTGCAGTGCAAGGTGTTACAAAAAAGAAAAAAAAAAGACCTGATGGAAGACTGCAGTGACTCAGTGGAAACCAATCAGAGTGCTGGACATGTACCCAGGGTTGGTGCCAGGATGTTTGAGCTATGCTGAGCAAATAGCTGATGGAAGATGTGAGCCAGTCTCTATGAGTATACTGGGAGTTAACCTATAAAAGGGTAACTCTTAGTAATGGAGCCGAGCACCTTCAGAAAAAAAGTGCCCTAATGGCTGGCCACACCACCAAGGATTTAAAAAAAAGTGTACACAATTAACCCTTTTTGTCATGACAATCCAATGCCTTTTTGTAAAATATACTCTCCCCACACAATGTAAATCTTTTGTGTTTCACAATAGCCTCAGTTCTCATCAGATTTAACCCTTTATGGGTCTCAGTTCTCCAATGCTTGTTAAACCCACTGGAGCTGTAGGGGGATTTTCCATCACAACAGGGTCCATATTTTCTGGGTTTGAGACTGTAACAGAACTTTGCACAGGAGCTCCCTAGATAGCTAGAATGTGATGACATGTAGGTAATATTCCAACCAGGTCCAAGGTATGATTCCCAGCTTGCATAACTCACCTTCCCAAAGTGACCTCTCCCTAGGACAGCAACAAGTCTGAAATCCTCCAACGAAAGTTCAGAGACACTCGGAACCCTGCAAAACAGTCATATCACCATGGAGAACTGTCACTGAACACTGTAAATATGTCATTTAATTACCCGTGTTTATGGTCTGCCTTCAGTAATACAGTACACAAGAAGTAGAGATCTGCTCTCTGGAAGACACACATTTCTAACTTCCTCTTCTAGACCACTGAGTGACAAGGGGATTGTATGGCCCAGTTGTAAATTTGCCCCAATTATTATTATTATTATTATTATTATTATTATATGTATATGGGTATATTTAATCATGTGCCATTTCCCTCCACAGCCTATGAAATAGTGTATTTTTTTTACTGAATTGCATTTGAGTAAATTGTTTTAACCTAGAGACTTACAACTTTTAATGTTTTTTGTCTCTCAATGAGCACACCAACAGCTAAGGAAAGTTATTGTACATTTGCTAGTAATCACAGCAGCCTAGCCCAGGGACTGATCACTAGAACCAAGGCCTTTCAATATAAACAACTCACGTTAACACCGGCGGAAAATGACAATCTAGCCGGGCGGCAAATGTACCCACTAAACCAGCAAACCCCATGCTGTGCATGAACACAAACAGGATACTAACATCAGTACTAAACCTGCGAAAAGTGATACCACAGATAATAACAGGAAATCCTTTAACATAGCGAAAAACATGCCATCTCTCTTCATCGCTTAATTACTGATCTAGTACTGTATGCTGTGTGTGTACCAGGATATAGAAAAGGACAGATCACCTTGGAAATCAATACAAAAGTCTGTCTTCTTGCCCCAATATTTATTACTGTGGAACAGAATTGCTCTTTTAAAATGTGGCAGCAAGCATGAAGCACAGATTCCTTGTCATACAAGTCATTGTACAAATACTGACCTCCTCTGGCTGTCTCTCCTTGGGACTGGAGTAATTTTCTCCACATGGGCATCGGTCTGCCAGCAAAAACACATTGTATTTTTATTAATTGCAAAGCTCCAATATATAGAGTGCTATACTGTCATGCTATACAAAATCATACAAAACACATCAACTACCATGACATATCTGGTCATCAAGTAAATATCATCAATGTATATACTACGCATATTTGGGCTAAAATCCTGGATGCGTTTCCAAAGTTCCAAAACATACGGATTTGGCCGCTGGACAATTGTTGTTATTATTCATACTATTAGTTTTTTGTAAGGGAAAAAAAAAGCTGAAAAAAATCATCAATGTTGAAAATGTACTGCAATATTGTCCTGGTTTCATACACGAAATGTGTGAGTTGGATAAGCGTATTTATTTTTTAAATAACTATTATTTACTCATACATGTTTATTTTAATGTATGTATTTATTTAAAAAATATTTTACCAGGAAGGATATATTGAGATTTCTCTCGTTTTCAAGATTGTCCTGGGCCCACAAACATTGCATTGTTATAATAGGTTACAGTATAATATTAAAAATACAAAGCAATATTAAAATACACAATATAATATTAAAAATACTGAGTAATATTAACATACACATATATACATTTAACACAGAAAAGGTAAGAAATATCAGCAACCATGATTATAGGTGCATTCTGTACTGAAATATATCGACAGGGATCTCTTAACCCCCTAAGGACACATGACATGTGTGACATGTCATGATTCCCTTTTATTCTAGAAGTTTGGTCCTTAAGGGGTTAAAAGATTTTAGAATGGAGGAAGATTTAATTGTATGTATCAGTACGATGATATTAAACACTTGATCTAGATGCTGATTAGTTGATTTACACATTGATTGCTGGGTAATTATTTTTTCTCAAGATTCCTTCAAGTTCCCAAGTCTTGCAGAAAGCCAGTCCTGATAATCAGGAATTGCTACTAAACGTGTGCTGTCTGATTAATTTGGTTGTTTCGGTGTGCAATGGGGAAGAAATGTTCAGGTTTATTATAGCATTATTTGTAATGTGGAAGCGTTTAATGTTACTACTTCGGTAAGTGTATGATTTAAGAAATGGAACCATGTGAGTTAACAAGTAGTCTCGTTATAATGCAAAATGTGTACATTGTGAGCTATCAGTCTGTTTCACTGTGAGCCTTTTAAGCTCTATGTCAATTGATGGTTTTTTGCCTGTATTTGCGTAATAAAATAAAAAATATTATAGAGCAAGCAATAATTCAATGTTCATCGGGATTACTGCTTTCTTCACTTTGTATTTCAAGTGGATGGACTGTCCTTTCTCAGTGATCAAGGCGAGGGGGCCATATATCTATTGACCCATGTGGAGCGCCGTAATGGCGGCATTTGCCTGCACTGTCGGAGTGGAGTGCTATAAAGACTGTTAATCAGTTGTATGTGGAAATCATGTCCTGCCATTGTGATATCAATGAATTCATCATGGTGGTTGCTTGAGGAATCTGGTTGTGATAACATCCTACCTTAAGGCATAGTTGACTAATTCACTGCACAACAATCAAACAATAATAACTACGGGAAAAGGGGATTCAGTAGGAACGAAAAGATGGAATCACGAGGACATCCAGGACATGGATAACACATTGATGTAAATGATAATGATTTACACATTATTGTAAAATATCATGACAATGGAGAAAAATAATGAGATATAGATAGAACTTCATTGTTGCTTAAAGTGACACTCCAGTGTGGATTTACCATACATTTTAATGTTATACAAACAATTATAACATCACTACCATTTGAATGGTTTTCTTACAACTGATTTTTTTCCTTTTTCTAATTTCGACAGAATATGTTCTGCGTGGAGGGCTTCTTTAAAGACTAGAGTGAAAATCAAACATAGAAGACCAGGGCAGGGACATTTTTTAAATTTCCAGTTACGGAACAGGTAATTGTGCAGGTAGATTGATCTCACCTCGTCTTTTGTTTCCTGAATGGTTTCCGCCGTTGGAGATTTTAATTGTAGCTCTCTAAAAATCAATCAAAACAGAGAGTGAGATAGTCAGTTAAATATTGAGTTCTGTGAAGAGAGATAATGACGAGCATGCAGCCGAAGCAGGCACTGAACAAATGGATTGAAGCCAAAACTCTAAATAGAAAGGAAGCAATAAAACCAGATAATAAGTGGGATGGCTGACTGCGTTAATCACAGACAGACCGAATAATCAGAGAATTGATACACAGAGTAATTAGCAGCCAGAGGGAGGATAAGAGTGACAGCAATCAGATGGTACATGGCTTACGATCCGCTATCTGCTGGGCTGTATGTTCCACTGTTTGCAGGAAAGGTTCTGCGCAAGAGGCGGAGCCAAGTGGAAGGGTCAATGTTCATCTGCCGTGCACGTAGAAAGGCTTTGCCTGTGATGAAAAACAATACTGTGTAGCAACGCCCCCAAAAATCAAACACAATATCAAGTCGCCATTTACACAACTACTACACAATGTACACTAAACAAGCGAATACTGCAGCTTGTCTTGTGTGACACAGATGTAGCACAATGATGACACGTATTGAGATCATAGAGATATACTAAAAAGCCAACACATACATTAAAAGGGAACTGTGAGGGGTGGAGCGTGTGTGAGGGGGCAGTCTGTGTGTGTGTGTGTGTGTGTGTGTGTTTGGGGGCAGTCAGTGTGTGTGAGGGGGCAGCCCGTGTTTGTGTGAGGGGGGCAGTGCTCTTGTGTGGGGAGCAGTGTGCGTGTGAGGAGGCAGTTGTGTTTGCTAAAGTATTGAGTGAGTGTCTTTGTTATTATTTTCTAACAATCACCCTTACCTTTCATTGACTAAAGGATGTTGAGGAAAAGAAACAAAAACAGTGCGGGGTAATTATCAAAGTGTTCTGAAAATTGATGGTTAAAGTCAGTCATAAGTGTTATGTTATGAATTAAAGTGATCTAAAAAGTGACAGTTTTCTCTATAGTTAAATCTGCCAGTTTACACTGAAATGTCCATTAGACCGCTTAATTCACAGTGACAGCAAAAAGATATGGATATGACGCAAAAAAAGGAACAGATAAAAAATCCAGCAGATTTAATAAGTTGTACCCAAAAATTATACGTAAAATTGTCAGCAATGGATTGATAATTCTCCCCCATTGTTCCTCCGCTAATGCAATTTGTCCCCTGGCTCTACCAGAATTGAACTGGATTGGTGACATCAATGGCTAAATCTTTATTCACATTAAAGATAGGTTAAAGGGTTACTCCAGCCTCCATGACCACTTCTGCAATTAGAAGTGGTCATGGAGGAAGAAATCTGTATGTGCAGCTATACTACTTGAATTGCTGCACATAGAGAGTGTGACGAAGCCTGCTCAGGTCGCACTGACAACGGGTCCAAGATTCAAGAAAACTCCCCCAAAAGAGCTTATAATCATCCTTCTTTGCTCCCCCACCCGAACCAACACCTCCGATGCAGTGGAGCACTCTGAATCCAGCTCCTGGTACTGCTCAGCATGACTGGGATAGATGCAACTCCATCAGCAGGAATGCTTGTCTTCCAACTGGAACTCTAACTCGAATATTGAAAAAGGAGGCTGCCTGGTACATTTTCTATTTTGTACCGCTCATTCACATAGGTTCTTTAAGAAGAGTGCTAATTGGAGCTGAGGTAGAAGAGATGGGCAGCCACTGAAACACACTGAGAGCTAGGGGGAGCCCCCCTTCCACGGAACTGGAGAGACTTGCTCCTTTGACTGGCACTTACCCGGCGGCAGCCTGGAACTTTGCTTCAGATCGGAGGATAGCCACAGCCAGGCCAAACCTTACACAATTATTACTCAGGCTGGGTACCTCCGACCCAGCACTTTTTGGATATTATACTTTTAGGAGGACACTGTACACTATACACTGTCCAGGGAGCTGTAACATGTTGAGTATAGGGAATTCTATGCTTCAGGGTTACCACTGTAAGGCACCCTGCTGTGTGGAAGTTAATAAAATCATCCCCCAGTTAACTGAGTTTTCCCCCAAACACATTTGTGCATTTAGTGCTGGGTACCAGTTAACCCCTGAGCACACGTGAATTAGGCTGGGTGGAACTCTGTTCCGGGTTACCTAATGGTAATAATATCCAAAAATGACGCGGGCGCTGGCAACAGACATTATGAGGTTTCTACCTTATATGCCTATATGTCGGCCCTCGCAGTCTCTTTCTATTTATTAACATATGTATGTTTTGTTTTTAAATCCCTTTCTTCCCTCCTTCCTACCTCCAACTCCCTTCCCTCCTTGCATGCACTCAGAGCTAGTGAGCATTGCGAGAATTGTCCAATCAAATGCTTCTATGAGAAGCATTTGGTATGACATCAGAGAGGAAAGGAGTAATGCAGCGTGATGTTGGAGGGGGCATACAAATGCCTGAGGAGAGCGAGATTCAAAGTAAGTTTTTACCTACTTTGCAGGGTTTTTGGGGTTTAAAAAGGAGGGCGGACAAAGTTAGTAGTGCCAATTGGGGCATTATAATTAACAAAAAGAGAATAGTGAAAATTTGTTGTTTTTTTTTTTACATAGGTAATTTCCAATGTTTTATTTAATTGCAAAATTTCTATAAAATAAACATAAAAGACAAAATATTACCTTGCTCTTTAGAGAAGATCTTCTTCTGTCTGCGAAGTTTAGAAAATCTTTCAATCACTGGGTTATAGAACGCCACCTTAAAACCATAACAATATTATTATAATCTCCATATACTGTACGTATAATAACTTCACTCTACAGAGTATATTTATATTGGCACAACCCTGCTGGATGTGTGTATACAGTATTTATCACAATATTATTAGTACAACTCTATCCAGGGATTATATAGAGTAATATTAAAACCTGAAATAGTATCTATTGGCACAGCATTGTCAGGTATTTATTGATAGTATATATTAGAATCTGACTATGTAAAGAATATTTCTATTAGTTTGGCAGTGCTGGATGTTTATATAAAGTATTTATTAGAACCTGACACAGCAGAGTATATTTATTTTGATACAGCACTGTTAGGTATATATACACAGTATGCATATATTAGAACAGTAGAGGATATTAATATCAATGTATGACTGCTGGATATTTATATATACAGTATATATCAGTACCTCACACTGTAGGATCCCCTGGGGCTCCATTTCAAGGCTAATTTCATGCTTTTGATCGTCCAGAAAATCTTCCAACTTGACGTATTTAATAGCACAAAGTGAGCGGAAGTCTCTTCGATACACAGACACCTGCAATTCTCGCGACTGTGTGTAGAGACATAAATATTACATGTTAAATATTCAGAGTATTCTATAATATGTCAACATGGGGACAGTTTACACAGTGTATGGTATTCACACAACCTCACTTAATATTTAATGTGTGCATCTAGCTTGACACAATGCTTAGTGTTCACATCCAGCTTTTTACAATGTTCAGTGCTAACAAGTGGTGTTACGTAATGTGTACTGCTGGCACTGTGCTTCACACAATATTTATGGGGTTATTCACTAAACAGAGAATTCAAAGTGAATTTTAAACTTATGGCCAAAATAGGCTGAGTGCTCCCTGTTGGCATCACACACACAGTGATCATACTTAGATCAGATAACGATCAGTGCTCTCACCTACCTTGACACAAGGCTGAGCACCCACACCTAGATTGACATGTGATTACTTTATAGCACTATGTTTATGTAGGAGTAGCCATTGCCTCTCCTTTGTAGCATGATGTTATCTCTACCCTCTCTTTTCTCACCCGTTCTAGGTTCAGTTTAAATATCTGATCCCACGCATCTCTTCCTTCTGATTTCCAGGTGGTTTGTCCTACCATAACATTGTCCAGCCGCAAGACAACGCTCACCTCACCTGCGGGCACATAAATATTTACGTGGTAAATATAAATCATTGGAAAAAGGATTTATTTATTTTTATTCTTTTTTTTTTTTTTTGTAAAGATTTTTATTGACAAATTTTCGAGGTTACACTACAGAGTATGAAAAGTACAGTGATAAAGTACATTAAAAAGCATTGTACAATAGGGCATTAGGGACAAGTGTTGTACAAGTCTCTCGGTTGTCTGGTATGAGGAGACTAAGTTGTCTACTGCTGAGCCTCATAGATACATATGTTAACATCTTGTGATGGTCATGTTCGTTACTTTGTAGTACCGTTTCATGAGGCTGTCCACCAACCCTGTGATTGTATGCCCCCGTATATTTAACCTGTGGTCAAAACTTACTAGCCCCCTAGAGCTGCATAGTTATTAGTGGTGTATTTTAATCTCTCGTTACGGGTTGCTATGACAGTTTGAAAACCATAACCGAAGAGCTGAGGATCGTTAACAAGATAACAATAGATACTGTCGTCTTCCTTCAGGGTATATTCAATAATACTCTATTTCAACCGGTCCCAGTTGTGGGTATATGTTCTGCAGATAGGAGGACCGTTTGTTGTATCGAGGAAAATACTAAGACAGTCACTAGTCACACTTGTAGAAACCTCTGATAGCGAATACTGCTATAAAGTACTTGAAAATAAAGAAAGGAAAAGAAAAAAGGAAAAACAACGCAAACATGTTCTAGTACTGACATTTTGTTCACATCCTGCTATACTATGTAAATGCTGTATTCAGCAGCAATTTATCAGCAAGTGAACCAAACATTATAACCGGGGACTGGTAAGTCCCAGCATCTTAGCCAGGTCTGTGGCTAGCCAACCTTTGCGTCTGGGGGGCGGGGGTTTAATTACCAAGGGGTGGTTTTCACACATCCTCCTTTTTTGCGGCCTCCGTTCTGGAGGGGGGTGAGCCCGTGAGGCGACCGGTACCTCCACCTTCCTTTGCAGGGAGCAGTGTGTTCAGCCCTGAAGAGTTGTGGGGGGAGGAGGGGGGGGGAGGCTGAGGCAGTTGAAAATTTACGAATTTTAGAGCTGAAGGGTGGATGAGCGGGGTTCAGGGGTTCAAGACGTACTCTGGCCCCTAATGATTTGTTATAGCTCGGTCCATTGCTCAGTGACAGGGCCCTGTTCGAGTTGATTTCTCAAGAGGTTGTGGTGTTGCCTATGTATTTTAACCAGGGTTCCCAGGTGGAGGCATAGTAGGCGTATTTACCAGTCATAGAGGCTGTCAGCTCCTCCATTACTCGAATTGATTCCACTTTCTGGAGCCATTCCCTCATCAACGGGGCCCTGGTGGCTTTCATTGCACCGGGATGAGGAGGTTGGCCGCCGTGAGCAGATGGGTCATTAATACCCTCTGTGGTTTGGTGATGGGGTCTGGGAATAGTATGAAGAGCATTGTTTCTGGAGTGAGTGTTATGGTCCCCCCTGTAATGGTGTTGATTATCTCCCTCACTCTCCTCCAATAGGATTTTATGGTGGGGCATTGCCACCAGATGTGTGCTGTCGTTTCTCCCATTTGCCCACATCGCCAGCACGTATCTGGCATGTGTGGGAAGATATGTTGTAATTTGGTGGGCGAGTAGTGCCACCTCGAGATTCTATGGTATGTGCTTTCTTGGATAGCAGTGCTGATGGAGGATTTCAGTATGCCATGGAATATGGTACCCCATTTCCCCTGAGAGATATTAGTGGAGAGTTCCCTATTCCATGCTAGGGTGTATTGTGGCATTTGTCCCTTAAGCACTTCTTGGAGCATCTTGTAAAATATCGATAGGTGTTTGTTTTTGAGGGATTGGGATGTGCAGTATATTTCGTATGCTGTGAATGTACGGGAACCAGCTAAGTGTGATTGCGTAGATCGTATGTAGTGGGTCAGTTGCGCGTATTTGAAAGTCTGCAATATCGTGGAGAAGGAATGGCTCCATCGTAAGGATGAAGAGAAGAGGGGATAGGGGGCACCCCAGTCTCGTGCCGTTCTGTATGTGCACTGGGTCAGACAGTTGTCCGTTAATTTTGAGTTTGGCCGTGGGGGTAGAGTATACAGCCTCAAGCCATTTTGCCCAGTTTGGCCCAAAGCCCATAGTGTGCATTGTTGCTTTTAGGAGTGACCAGTCCACTCAGTCGAATGCTTTTTCAGCGTCGACCGAGAGCAGGAGGCTGGGTAGGTGGTAAGACTGAGATAGAGATTTAAAAGCTTTGTCGTGTTGTGCTTAGCCTCACATCCTGGGACGAAGCCCGTCTGGTCTGTGTGTATGAGGTTGGGAAGCAGGGGGCGTAGACAGTTTGCGGGTATTTTAGTAAAGATTTTGGGGTCCAACTTAATTAGTGAAAATGGGCGATAACTGCCACAATTGGTGGGGTCTTTTCCTGGTTTTGGTAACGAGGTGATGTGGGCCTCTAGAGCAGGGGTCGGTAGAGCTGGGGTGTCGGTGAGGAAGTTAAAAGCGTCAAGAAAAGGGCCTGCTAGTATGTCCTTGAATGTTTTAAAGTATTTGGCTGTGTAACCATCTGGGCCTGGGCTTTTCCGCTGAGGTAGAGAGCCTACCACTTTAAAGAATTCGTCTTTCGTCAAAGGCAGTCTAGGGTTTGCAGCGCTCCACTAGGGATTTTTTCACGCACCCGGGGAGCCAAGAAGCGTTCAATGTCTGTCGCCAACAGGGGGAGCTCTGCAGGTTGTATAGCTCTGAGTAAAACTTGTGAAAGGCTTCCATTATATCTGGCAGGGTGTGTGAAATGCCTTTGTCTTGGTATTTAACCTTTGCTATGAACTTTGTTTGCCTACTTTGTTTCAACGCAGAGGCTAAGAGACGTCCACATTTGCCTCCGGAGTAGAAGTAGGAGTGTTTGGTGAGTAGTAGTGTGCGTTGAACCTGTGTGTTCAACAGTTGTTGTAGCTCAGTGCGCTTTGCGAGCAGCGCCTTGTATGTCTGGAAGGAGTCTTTACTGTGGGGGGCTGCCTCTAGAGCTCGTATATCCTCTATGAGGGATTTAATTTTACCCTCTCTCACTTTTTTCTGTCGGGAGGCGATAGCTATGAGCTGTCCCCAAAGCACACATTTATGTGCTTCCCATGTTATTGGGGGAGGAGGTCTGTGGGGAGGAGTTTTTCTGTGAAGTAATGTTGAAGGGAGGTTTGTATTTGTTTGGCCACTAATTTGTCATTCAATAGCAGGTCATTTAGTTTCCATTGCTAAGATTTTAAGGGTAGGTAGGATATATGAACGGTAAGAGACAGGGGCGCATGGTCTGACCATGTGATAGGGCCATAAGAGCATGATGTCACTAGACGTAAGAACCTATGTGGCAAAAAGAACATGTCCAACCTGGAGTATGTATGAGTTGCTGGGGAGTAGTAGGAGTAGTCCTATTGGGATGACTTATTCTCCAGCACTCGTATAGCTGTGAGTGGTCCAGGAGGTGGGAGAAACGCTTACGTATTGGGTCATGCCTATTGGGAGTGACCGATGTGGTGTCTAGGGCCGAGTCCAAGGACAGGTTAAATTCTTTATTTTTATTGTACATAGGTGTACAAAGCATCCTGCATTGTCACAACAACGAATGCAGGAACATGCAAAATTCACAATGAAAACTGGTACATAATGTTTTGATCTATGCAAGGTATTACTTTGTTTCATTTCGCTGCAACGGCACCTTTTTATGGTAAAGTTAAAGTACAAGAGGTAACTGCACACATTTTCAAGGTAAAGCTAACGTACTTTTTAGAACTGCACGTTTTTGTATTAATACAGGCTGAAATAAGTTATGTCCGACAATGCAAAGGCAACAAGTGTTATCAAGGCTTACTGGGTAGGCAGACATTAACTTTGTCAAGTAAACTGGGGTGAGGGGTAACATGTTAATCTTTAGTTTATTCTGTAGCTTAGTATCCACTGGGCACTATTCCTAGGGGTGGAGCATGTTCAAGATGTATTGGTTGAGACAGCATGCCCACCCTGAGCTTAGGTTTATCCTCCCCTGCAAGAGGAGAGTCCGTTAGTTAGGCTGGATTATGCCTCCTAGGGAGGTATCTCGCAGTGGCCAGTCTGGTTATTACCTTACAATTTGTACAAATTAAGCTCTTGTCGTGGATGCATGGAATAGCCTTCCAGCTGAAGTGGTAGAGGTTAACACAGTAAAGGAGTTTAAGCATGCGTGGGATAGGCATAAGGCTATCCTAACTATAAGATAAGACTAGGAAGTAATGAAAGTATTTAGAAAATTGGGCAGACTAGATGGGCCGAATGGTTCTTATCTGCCGTCACATTCTATGTTTCTATGTTTCTATGTCGTGCTGTTACTGAAAATGAGCATTACATTTAAACGATGGAGCACATTGTCGGTGCAATAAGCACGGTTAGGCTACCATATCATGTTAGTCAATACTGACATATCAGTCTCCCACAGGTAATATTTTAGGCTTGCCATTAGATAGTTATGTGCAGAGAGTAACAAGTTTAAGTTTACTTAACTGGTATATAAACATGAGGAATGGTGGAAAAGGGATTTCTTTATGGAATATTCATGCTTTTCCTGTGTATATGTGTGCATCATTGTTTGCAAATAATAAATAGGTGTATTATTTGATTGTTTGACTTGTAAATAAAATATAATTTTACATACTGGAGAGTTCTTCGCTGCGGCTCAAGCTGGCTGTGCGTGAATACATGTTCTTCCCACTGCGTGTTCGTATACTCCGCCCCTCAGAGGGACTGCTACCCGGTAACCAGACTGGAGAACTCCGTGTGCGACCAGGGACAGTCTCTAAGAGGTTAGAACATCCCAGAAGCCGAACCTCTAGGACACCTGTAAGAAGAATTTAGCCAAATCTTAAAAATGGAAAGGAGCCACGTGTTGAATAATGGTTGGTGTATTAAAGGATATTCACATATCAGAGGTTAATCAGATACAGGTCAGAGGTCAAAACAAACATTTTTCCTGCATACATTAAAATAGAATATTAAGATGAAGAGACACAGTAAATTTAAATGGAAGATTCCATCACCCTTAGCCTGCTTTTCACAGTTGTAGTTGAACACCATTTTGGCCTAGTTAAGCATTGCAGACACTGCCAACTTTTTAATCCTGGGTAGACCTGCATCTGAATGCCTTATTGCTCATTAAATGTATTAAGTGTTTTGTGGGTAATCACAGATATGGCTATTTTGAATAATTATTGCTGATGTTACTTGCAGTATTTGGTAAGGGATCCTGCATGTTATTCATCTAAAAACAAAAATTACAAATAACGCCAATGAAAGTGTTCAAAATTAATAGGAGGTTTAATCGGCACAAAACGAAAAGTAATATACAGGGGCAAAGGTCACACCAAACACCTAAAGCATTTAGGATCTACATAGGAGTATCTCACTGTCATGATTTCCATTATCATTTCTGTCCGATTGGTGTTCACGTGTAATGACTTCCGGGTATTTGCCGATCCAACTCCGCATATGCGCCTGACTTCACGCGCTTCCATAGTAAAAGGAAGCCACGGCCCCTATCAGATCGCTTAATCAATTTGTTACCAACTTGTTTCCAAGTGCCAATGGAGGGCCCTCTGTTGATAAGCTGTGTTTCGAACCTCTGATACCGACATTGCTGACTTCTCATCTCCCAGACTCGGCGCTCTCCATAAGCTGTGTACCGAACCTCTGATACCGACATTGCTGACTTCTCATCTCCCAGACTCGGCGCTCTCCATAAGCTGTGTACCGAACCTCTGATACCGACATTGCTGACTTCTCATCTCCCAGACTCGGCACTCTCCATAAGCTGTGTACCGAACCTCTGATACCGACATTGCTGACTTCTCATCTCCCAGACTCGGCGCTCTCCATAAGCTGTGTACCGAACCTCTGATGCCGACATTGCTGACTTCTCATCTTCCAGACTCGGTTCTCTCGATAAGCTGTGTACCGAACCTCTGATACCGACATTGCTGACTTCTCATCTCCCAGACTCGGCGCTCTCCATAAGCTGTGTACCGAACCTCTGATGCCGACATTGCTGACTTCTCATCTTCCAGACTCGGTTCTCTCGATAAGCTGTGTACCGAACCTCTGATACCGACATTGCTAACTTCTCATCTCCCAGACTCGGCTCTCTCAATAAGCTGTGTACCGAACCTCTGATACCGACATTGCTGACTTCTCATCTCCCAGACTCAGAACGGACTTTGACTACGTTTACTTCTAATTCCCAAATTACTTCAGTGAACCTCTATCTTTGCTATTCTAGAAAGGACTTCCTTTATTAACATCTACAGTAATCAAGCTAAGTTCTCCAGTTTACTGAAGCTGATGAATGTTTACTACGTTTATTTCATAATTGCAACTAAAGTCTAGAGGACTGTGTTATACTTTCCTAATCAGGATCTGCTTTATTTCCTTATTACTTCTGAAGTCTGATGGACTATGTTATACAATCCTAATCTGGATCTACTTTATTTCATTATTTCTACTGAAGTCTAATGATCTATGTTAAGCAATCCTAAACAGGAGCTACCTTTACTTTATGGAATATTATTTACAATTTATATTGCTAAAGACAATTGTTAAATTGAATACACCTAAAATCAATAAATCAAATATTCTTAAAGTGACAGTATTAAACTCATTTCTTCACCTGCAGTTGAGTTCCAAATGAACTTTTATTTCTAATTTCTTGTTTCTTGAAAAAACATTTTTTAATTTGTTTACTAAATGTTGCAGCACCTGGGGCGGAGGACAGTGTGTTAACTGGCAGATTAAATTTAATGTAGAAAAATTAGATATGCACTTTGGCGTAAAGAATGCACAAGCAACCTATACCCTTAGTGGAGAAGGAATTGGGAATTGTTATAGACAACAAACTATGCAACAATGTGCAATGTCAATCAGCAGTGGCTAAGGCCAGTAAGGTATTGTAATGCATGAAAAAGAGCATTCATTCTAGGGATGAGAATATAATTCTGCCTCTTTATAAATCCCTGGTAAAACCACATATTGAATATGCTGTGCAATTTTGGGCACCTGTTCTAAAGAAGGATATTATGGCACTAGAAAGAGTGCAGAGGCGGGCTACAAAATTAATAAAAGGAATGGAACATTACATAGTTACATACTTAAATAGCTGAAAAGAGACTTACTTCCATCAAGTTCAGCCTTCCTGACATATGTTTTTGCTGTTGATCCAAAAGAAGGCAAAAAACCTAGTCTGAAGCGCTGCCAATTTTGCAACAAACTAGGAAAAAAATTCCTTCTTGACCCCAAAATAGCAGTCAGATATCTCCTTGGATAAAGCAGCTATTACCCCACTAATTAGAAATTATATCCCTGTATGTTATGTTTTTGCAAGTATTTATCCAATTGCCGTTTAAACTAAACATTTTGGCTATGAAGAAAGGTTAACAAATTTAAATCTCTTTAGTTTAGAAAAACGTCGCCTCTGAGGGGATATGATAACATTATACAAATATATCCGGGGCCAATACAAATCATTGGGTGGAAATCTATTCGCAAACAGGACTTGCTGGAAGAATGAAGATTTACAGTGAGGGAAAACAGTACTTTTTCAGGCAGAGAATTCCATATCCTTATTGTTCTTATGGTAAAAACAAACCTTTTCTTGCCTTAGACTACAGTGAGGGAGAAAAGTATTTGATCTCCTGCTGATTTTGAACATTTGCCCACTCACAAAGAAATGATCAGTCTATAATTTTAATGGTAGGGTATTTTAACAGTGAGAAAGAGAATAACAAAACAATCCAGAAAAACAAAATGTCAAAAAAGTTATAAATTGATTTGAATGGCAATGAGTGAAATAAGTATTTGACCCCTTCGACTTAGTGCTTGGTGGTAAAACCCTTGTTGACAATCACAGAGGTCAGACGTTTCTTGTAGTTGGCCACCAGGTTTGCAGGAGGGATTTTGTCCCACTCTTTGCAGATCCTCTCCAAGTCATTAAGGTTTTGAAGCTGATGTTTGGTAACTCGAACCTTCAGCTCCCTCCACAGAATTTCAATATGCTTAAGGTGTGAAGACTGGCTAGGCCACTCCAGGACATTAATGTGCTTCTTCTTGAGCCACTCCGTTGTTGCCTTGGCTGTGTGTTTTTGGTCATTGTCATGCTGGAATACCCATCCACGACCCATTTTCAGTTGTCCTGTCCCCTTAGCAGAAAAACACCCCTAAAGCAAAATGTTTCCACCTCAATGTTTGACGGTGGGGATGGCATTTTTGGGGTTATAGGCAGCATTCCTCCTCCTCCAAACACGGTGAGTTGAGTTGATGCCACAGAGCTCAATTTTGGTCTCATCTGACCACAACACTTTCACCCAGTTCTCCTCTGAATCATTCAGATGTTAATTGGCAAACTTCAGACGGGCCTGTACATGTGCTTTCTTCAGTAGTGGGACCTGGGGGCGCTGCAGGATTTCAGTCCTTCACGGCATAGTGTGTTACCAATTGTTTTCTTGGTGACTATGTTCCCAGCTGCCTTGAGATCATTAACAAGATCCTCCCATGTAAGATCATCGAAACTCCACAAGGTGAGATCTTTCATGGAGCACCAGACCGAGGGAGACCGAAAGTTATTTTGTGTTTCTTCCATTTGTGAATAATCGCACCAACTGTTGTCACCTTCTCACCAAGCTGCTTGGCAAAAGTCTTGTAGCCAATTCCAGCCTTATGTAGGTCTACAGTCCCTGACATCCTTGGACAGCTCATTGGTCTTGGCCATGGTGGAGAGTTTGGAATCTGACTGATTGATTACATCTGTGGACAGGTGTCTTTTATACAGGTAAAGAGCTGAGATTAGGAGCACTGCCTGTTAGAGAGTGCTCCTAATCTCAGCTCGTTACCTGTATAAAAGACACCTGGGAGCCAGAAATCTTGCTGATTGATAGGGGATCAAATACTTATTTCACTCATAGACATGCAAATTCATTTATAACTTTTTTGACATGCGTTTTTCTGGATATTTTTTGTTGTTGTTGTTGTTCTCCCTCTCACTGTTAAAATACACCTACCATTAAAATTATAGACTGATTATTTCTTTGTCAGTGGACAAACGTTCAAAATCAGCGGGGGATCACATACTTTTCTCCCTCACTGTAGCCTAAGGCAAAGAAAAGGTTTGTTTTTACCATAAGAACAATAAGGATATGGAATTCTCTGCCTGAAAAAGTGGTTTTATCAGAGTCTGTACAGATGTTTAAACAACAACTAAATGCATACTTGCAAAAACAGAATATTCAATTATATAATTTTCAACTGTAGGGTAATAGCTTCTTGATCCAAGGATTAATCTGACTGCCATTCTGGGGTCAAGAGGGAATTTGTTTCCTAGTTTGTTGCAAAATTGGAAGTGCTTCAAACTGTTTTTTTCCCTTCTTTTGGATCAACAGCAAAAAACAAATGCAAGGAAGGCTGAACTTGATGGACGTGAGTCTCTTTTCAGCTATGTAACTATGTAACTGGCATCCCTGCTTCCCCAATTTCCAGAAAACATATTTAAAGAATTAAAGGACCACTATAGGCACCCAGATCACTTCAGCTTAATGAAGTGGTCTGGGTGCCAGGTCCATCTAGGATTAACCCTTTCTGCTGTAAACATAGCAGTTTCAGAGAACGAGTATGTTTTCCTGGCACTATAGTGGTCCTTTAATGGAACCTATTAAGTTTTTTTTTCTACTTTGTTGCAATCTCCAAGTTGCTACTATTATTATTGCAACAATTTTAGTAACTGGTTGGGGCAGTAATTTCCACAGCCCAGAGAGCGAGCAACTAATGAATTAATTTTTACATCTTAACCTGGCTTTAAAGGGACACTGTAGGCACCCAGACTACTTCAGCTAATTGAAGTAGTCTTGGTGCTGTGACCCTTTTGCACTTAGTGCTGCAATGTAAAACATTGCAGCTCTAAGTCTGCCCTCTGTGGCTGTCTAACAGACAGCCATTGGGGGCGCTTCCGGAATCCAAACAGACTTTTGGTCCGTTACCTGACGCTGGACGTCCTCACAGACCACATAAGAAAGCATTGAATAAGGTGCGCATTAGGTCTCACCTGCCAGCTGATGTTGGCAGGGGAGGAGTGTGGGTGGAGCCTACCCAGCGACGAGGAACATCAGCGCTAGATTCAGGTAAGTGGCTGAAGGGTTTTTAACCTTCACCCAGCAGTAATCCTTAAAGCTACAGTTACTATAGCTCTATACTAGATTTGTTAAAGTGCCTGGGGCCATTTTTAGACGGTGATGGTATTAAAATTATGCTTGTAAATTATTTCAAGCTGTAGGTTACAAATAAATAATAAAGTTTTTTATTTTTTATTTTTTGTGTTTTATATTTTATATTTTTTGAGGACTTGTCTAGTTTCATTAATTCATTAAATAGGTTTTCTGGAAATTGTTGTTAAATTTTGTTATAGATAATTGCTCTCAATACGGACCAAAATCATATCATTTACTGATCCATCTACTGATAAATAGCTTTTTGTCCTCAGACAGACCATTTATTCTACAGCTAGGGTCTACAGGACCCCACTGATGCTGTGATCAGTTATTGTAGCGGAATTCGGTACTCAGCCTGAGTATGTCCGCTATCTTCCTTAGTAACGGGATATCGCAGTTGTGAAAATATCCATTTACCCATACACTAGCCGAAACATAGAGTGGGTAAACCTTTATTGGCATAACAAACAGGTATTTATAGTGGGAAAAACAGCAGGGGTGATTAACAGAACAATCCCTCCCCAGCACCACCATATCTGAGCTGTGAAACACTGATTTAATCACTGTTCAGTTAATTACATTAAGTAGAGTAGTGCTTTCACATACATGAGCCCCAAGGATTCCAAGCCCCAAACACCTCTCTTCCCAACAGATACTTCCCAAATCGTGTACATCTCCATACAGCTCCCAGGCCCAACTGCACAGAGTTCATAAGGATCATACGGTTCCTAGCATGAGGTACAACACTCTAGTCTGATGCAGCTCAGAGTTCCACGATTATGGAAAAGGTGTTCCTGGAGTCTTGGGGAAAGGAGCGCCCTTGAGTTCTGGGCATGTACGGATGTCTTTACTCCTGATACAGCACTGGTAGAGCATCACTCGTCTAAAGTTCTGACTGGCCTGGATCCTGGTGGTCAGTGGGAATCACCAGTCATAGTGATGGACTTGTAACAAGGTTAGGAGAACATGGAGTTACTAGTGGTAACAGTGCTCAAGGAGGCCGTGTCCATTGTGGTCAGGTGAAATTCCAAGGTGATTTGCTAGCAATTTATTACATTTCGAACAGTTCTGTAACAGTTATACATCAAGTTAGGACAACGAGAGCAGTGATAGTTAGCCTTTGACACTAAGAATCTAGAGCAGTGATGATAAACATCTTCTCAGGAACACTTCACATCCATCTCTGCATTAGACAGAAGATCTACAGAAGGATATCTCCAGTAACATTCAATTTCAATGCAGTTTAAACAAAACTGTATAGCAATTTGGGAATCATAAGGAGTAGATCACCACCTTAAGGTACTTTGTGTTACTGCAAATTGATGAGTCTTGAGGTTAGCTTGTCTCAGGACAGTGAGGAGGCAGCTATTCTGTTAGACTTAAATTGCTACTCGTAGGTACTAGGGCAGGGGTAGGCAACCTTTTAATAGCACTGTGCCAAAACAAGATCTTGAAGTCTCTTGGTGTGCAGGTGCTATTTTGTATAGATTAAGGTGTGTATGATGCCGTATTCTGCTTGTGTTATATATGGGTGCTGCGGTTGCTTTAGTGCTTTGTATTTGTGAATTTGTGGGCTTTTATATTGTATATATTCATGTGTAGTTTGTGCTATTGTGTAGGATACATATAAATGTAGGCTGTGTATGGGGGCTGCTTGTGGAATTTTGTATGTGGATGATATGTCACATAGTGTGTATTTGTGGGGATGCTTGTGGTATTGCATGTGAGAGTCTGTTTGGGGCTGTGTGTATACGTAGATTGTCAGTGGTGTTGTGTTTGTGGGGATTGAGTGTGTGTTTATGTGTGGGTTGTTTGTATTATTTGTATGGTGGGGCATCTTCTGCAGCTCTGTGTATATTCAAACAGAGTGGTTGACTTCCCTGGGGTCCGGCTGGCCAGGTGCAGGTCAAGAGCAGAAGCTCTACTCCAGTGCGGATTCCCTTTCTCAAGTGCTGGGATGACGTGATCTGAGATCACTTCCTATTTTTACTGCAATGCGCTCAGTTTGCACTAGCAGATATTTAAAGTACCAGTGGAACTCCTGATAGGCTAGAGCCTGTTTTTCTAAGGCAGCCTTGAGTGTCATGCAAAAGCACCTCGAGTGCCATTGATGGCACACATGCCATAGGTTGCTGACCCCTGTACTAGAGCAACATTTACTGAGATACTTTGCTTCAATTAATCTGATACACACAACAAAGACTAAACAAAGATAATATACCTTGTGTGTATCGTAACTGTTTACTCTCAAGGTTAAAAAATGAAGCTCACCCTCATTCCAGTGTCAGAGCAAACTCCAAATATGAAAATATATTCAGCTAAGGTGGGCTGTGCTTGCAGGTCCACCCTTACTGAATTATATCACCAGAGAGACCCTCCAGTAAGTAATGTCTCTGGGTTTAACCCCTATACTCAAAATAGAAACAAAAAATTCAAAACGCTCTCACGCAAAATAGTTTTTGAGCGTGAGCGTTTAACTGGAGAAATAGTTAACAATATTAAATATGCACTTAACCAAATAGTAAAGAGAGCAGGTGTTTATTATCAAAGTCTGTTGGCTAAACCTCTGACTGATATATGGAAACCATGATAGTAGTATCCTTTCAATTTCTGGCTTTATTAATTTATTTGCCAATGTAAAGGGATTATTTAAATATCAGGGTACCATATTAGGTAGTGCAAATTGTCGCACTGTTAAGATGTAAGTTAGGTGAGATGGTTTGGTATGTTAATTACCAGAATAATATGTGGAGACTTTCCACCAGAATATTCAGGTAAGTATAATCATGGGCTGCAGTTGTATATACACATCTAAACAAGAATAAGAACTGTTATTAGATCTGCAACAAATTAAATTGGACCTATTATACCTTTTAACACTTCTCAGGGTTAAGTGGTTAAATTAAATAGGATAATAAGAACGGTCACACCTCACCCCTTTTTCAGTCCTTACATTGGCTTCCTGTATCATATAGGAGTCAATTCAAAGTGCTATCCCATACATTTAAAGCACTGAACAATTCTAGCCCCTCTTATATCTCTTCACAGATCCATAGGTATGCCCCTTCTCGGTCCCTCTTCTCTGTCCCTCCACTCTGTCCGCTCCTGTCCGCTGCTCGCAATTGTACGGCCAGCGCGCACTTGCAGGACTTCTCGCGGGTGGCTCCCTTCCTATGGAATAGCCTGCCAACCCGCATTAGACTCTCCCCTAGTCTTCAATCATTTAAGAAGTGCCTCAAAACCAATCTCTTTAAGAAAGCTTATGGCCTCCCAGAACAACCTCTACCTTACATACCTGTCTCTCTCTCTCTTGCTCTCTCCTAAAGGGCAGCACTCAACTCTCTCCTCCAGCCCTGCTTCACTCCCACCCTATTTGATTGATATTTCCTGTCCTAATGTGTTTTATACCCCACCTCCTATAGACTGTAAGCTCGATTGGGCAAGTTCAACCTATTGTTCCTGTAAGTTTTCTTGTAACTGTCCTATTTATAGTAAAATCCCCCCTCTCATAATATTGTAAAGCGCTACGGAATCTGTTGGCGCTATATAAATGGCAATAATAATAATAAGAATAATAATATGCAGATATTAAACAGTTAAAATGTTCCTTGTTAAACTCTATATATGTTTTGCCAAATGTATCAATTGTGGCAAAAATATAGTTGCAAAATGCTGCAGTATAATGACCTAAAGTTGTTATGGTAGACAGAGTAGTATAGGTAAAAGACAAGCCTCTCTCTCTGTTAAACTTGTTCAATAGTCAGAGGAGTAAGAAAAATAAAAAAGGGAAGTGCTATAAAATTATATCATGTTTAAGTCTGCATGATATGTAACACCATTGTGAATAGGTGTATAGTGCCCTGTGCCAAAGAGAAAAGAAGATGCCCGATGCGCGTTTCGGTGCACAGCGTGTGCACCTTCATCAGGGGTCAGACGCACACTGACTCTTTGCTTTCTTATATACCCCCTACCCCACATGGGAGCTGTGGATTGCAGCCAATCAGCTGCTAAGTGGTATAATTAATTCCTTTCAGCTTCCGTTGTGATCTGTGAACAGATCAGGACTAACTTTAACTCCTTCAGTGCTGATCGGGCAATCCATCCCAGTTCAGACTACTTAAGAGATAAATACTTTCTTTATAGTCATGAAGGAAGATCTTTATAAAAACCGTCATATTTAGTGATAGTTGAAGGTTAGGAAGTTCCCCTTAAATATATATAGAACAAGCTTAAGTCTATTTATATTGCTACTACAATATATATGATGTACTAAGGATTACTAATGTGATCATATATTAGACTGTAAATGCAGATGAATATTGCATTCACTACAACAAATTGGAGACTATATAGGTTCATGAGTATCTAAATATTAATATCATTTACAGGGCAAACATACTTTTAACCCTTTATGTTTATCCAAGTTATACCAAAAACTTATTTCACTATCTCTATTGTTTTTAGTATGTCAAGATAAAGATTATGGTAATCCAGTGTTTTGTTAATTCATAACTTATTGAGTTTATCTTTGTGCAACTTGGATATGACTCATAGTGTACATGTTTTAAATAGTGATATGGATCATTATAGTTGTTCCTATTACTGTGTGAATTGCTTGTACTGTCATCATTAAATATTTACAGAATGTTTTACATGTTGGTTAGGGTTTTGGGTACAGTTTATGACCTTGATCACGGGTTTTTTCAATATCTTAAAGGTACATGCAAGTTAAGGTGTCTCATTATAAATTTACAATATTGGTGTTTAATCATTGAATGAGTACAGTTATGGGCAAAAAAAAGGATATTTGGTTTGACAAGAGTGATCATGGACATTGTTTAAAAATATATATATATAAAGTGCTTTTAAGCCAATACAGGTTACAGTTATCAATCAGATATGAATGGAGTATACGAAAATCCTTCATTCAAGCCAAATGGGGAGAGCGTTTTTAGTTTGTATATCCAATAGCTCTCTCTCTGTAATAGTTTTAACTGGGGCCCAGATTTATTTTTTCTATTCTGCTGAAGCGTAATCCTTGAGAAGATCCCCCATGATGTAACTTTAGGTGTTTAGAAATTGGGGTGTCAGCATGTCTAGATGGATTAACTGAGTTGATATGCTCTAAGATATGCTTCTTAAATGCTCTGCTGGTTTTTCCCATATATTTCAAATTGCAGCTACAGGTTAGTAGATACACTATACCTGAAGTTAGGCAGTTAAAGAAGGTTTTGGTATTAAATATTTCTGTTCCACCTGAATCTGAAAATGTCTTTGAGTGTCTGCGGATATATTTGCAGGCTTTGCAACACCCACACTGGTATGTTCCACTGTTTTTGAAGCGCAAACTCCCTACAGCAGTCGCTCAACGTTTTCAAAGACCATTATAATGGATGATCTCGGTCCACTGCTTCTCATAGAGAAGAGATGAGACTCTGTGGCGCGAGAAGCATTGGTTGATTTTGGCACCATCATGTTTCGATTCTAGAATGTCTTACAGAGGATGTGACTTTAGTGGATGCCAGTGTGACATTCATTAAGAGGCACGTCCTCTGCAAAGGCAAACATTACTGATCCTAATGGCAATGTTTTACATCGCTAGATAAAAGGAGCAGCATCTATTCACCGAAACCACTACATTAAAAGGTAGCAGCTTTGGTGCTTAGAGTGTCCCTTTAAGGAGTAAATTATTGTACCCTAAGAAGTTACTTTAAATGATGTAACTAATATTTGACTCATCCTGTAATTGGTATTATGACAACTCAAACAGGATCTGAGTTGTTTGTGCAATGAATAGTTGACTGAAATGTTTTTTTTTTCTGCAATTGAGGTTCCAGGAAATATGTAGGAATTAATATTGATGTAGAAGGAGGAAATATGTGTTATAACTTGAGTGAAAGGGCACAGTTACATTGTCATTGCAGTTACCTGTGAGAGGAGCAGGTTTGGAGACTGTGCTATAGGGAGTTGGTGGTGTGGGAGCCCCAAGTCTTGTGGGAGAGACACACATAACCATTTCCTCTCTTATAAGACATCTTTTAGGGTGATCATGTGGTAAGTTATCCAGACATCTTTGAAGAGAAAGAGTTAGGAGATCCAGTCTCTGCCTAGATTCCACCAAACGAGCTTGAACCTAAATGAAAGGATCAAAAAGTGAGACACAGGTTCAAAATCCATCAAAAAACAATGGAGTTGTAGAGGAAATATCTGCCTCAAATAATGATGCCCAGCGTGGTTAAGGGCTTTAACCCTATTCAGAATCTTCTAATTACTCTAATTAGAATTAAAATAAACTACTCTGCTATATCAGTGAACAATGTGCTACGCAAAGACCTAGAAATAGAATATATTATTGTTTGTACTAAAGTGCAATAAAATATAGATGAACAAACAAACTGCTAACCCTAATAAGGATAGGGTGACTTGTTTAACTCATCTATACCAAAATCATATGAAACAATTAGGGAGTGCATGAACACTATAGAACAACATTTACTAATACATTTTCCAAAATATAAAAAAAATAATGTGAGTATAGTAGAGAATTAAAACTGCTGTACAAAACAAATACAAAACATAGAAAAGATAAACATAGCACTGAAATAGTTAAAAGTGGACCAAGCACTGAGAAATTTACATGAGTAAATATTCAGACACTGCATACAGAATAGACCGTCCATGACACAATCCAAGATCCAATTGTACACTTGACCACAAGTACTGGTTCCTGGCTATAGAGTCCAAAACTAGATGAAATAAAGTGCAAAGACCAGTATCCAAAATCCATGTACACAGGTCACCACGAGCTAGTATAATCCTTCCCTCTAGCGGTCCTTAATAGACCTGTGATAGTAAGTACAATTTGCAGGACACAGCCCTTGTGGGTTATGTCACTATGTTCAGCGTTGGCGCAATTCATCCAAAAAGATTCTCAAAATGAGCATAGGTGTACACTAGGTGTGCCTAGTGCAGGGCCAAATTGTTAATTATGCCCCCTGCTTAGGTCCCTTTGTACACTTTTTATGTTTTGGGTGAACTTGTGTTTCTAATGGAAAAAAACAACTTTGCTGCACTACATTAATCCTGGCACTGCCACAAAGAAAGAAAATTAGTAAACTTTATCATAAATGGGTAAAGGGACTTATATAAAATATATACCCTCTTTATCCTAGAACAAACCACTCCACCCACTGCTCAGGTTTTATTTGAAATAATTATTCATAAATCTTAAATGTGTTATATATTTATATATATATATTCGCCAACCTGCATCTGTGCCCCAAGATCGCATAACAGATGATCATTGAAAAGCTAGCAGTCCTTGACTACCAGACAAGACAATCAAAGGTCACTGAACAACTGCAACCAGACAATATGCTAGCAGCGGTTTAATGAGCCGCTATCTACAATCCCAACCAACACTATCACAGAGATCAACTAGCTCATATATGCCATCGCGTTAGTGGTCCTTCAACAGCTTGACTACAAGTTAAGACTGAAAGAGAAGAAGCAATGCCTACCATGGAGACTAAGACTGGAAGCCAAGATAAAGGCAACATGTTAGGAAGCTTGTAAGCTGGAATAACTTCACAGAGGTGGAAAGATCAAAGATAGATCTTGGCTACTGAGGAAATACAAGGGTAAGCCCATTTTAGAGGCTCTGGAAAAAGCTAAGTAAAGGCTGACAGCACTCACAACCAGACTGAGCAAATACACCAAAGAAGCAGAGGCTAAGAGAATAAATCCCATGTTTACCAATGAACCATCCAAAGAATATGCACAGTTGCATGGTACCAGCATGCCCACCTAAGACCCACCCGGAACTGAGACTTTCTCTGAGAGAAAAATGCATCACATAACACCAAGGCCCAGAGTCTGCTAGATCTGAAAGCAAACCACTGCATGATTCTAGAACAGGAGCCTGTACCCATCACAATTGGAAACACAACAACTAGTAGCTGACAAAGAGTTGGTCAGCACCTGATACAATCCACACCTACTGTATAAAGAAACTAACAATGATGCATGATTAACCAGCTACTAGCAACAGGTTCCCACCCTGTCTGGGTTACAGAAGGCAGAACAATACAAGTCTTAAAGGACCCTCACAAGGGAAAAGCACCAGCTAACTATTGACCAATCACCTGTCTCCCCAAAACAAGGAAGGTCTGTCAGGCATCATAGTCTCCAAGATCAAAATTGGTACATGAGCAATATGCGGAAGGAGATTGGAAACAAACATCAGAGGCCCAAAACACCAGCTGCTGGTAGACCAGATAGTCACACAAGATTCCAAGACCAACAGCCCAATCTGTGCACAGTCTGGATTGACTACAAGTAAGCCAATGACACAATGCCACACACATGGATACTGAAATGATTGGCTCTATACAAGGTCAACAATACCGTAAGAGCCTTCATCAAGAATTTGATGGGCATGTGGGGAACAACTCTAGAAGCCAGTTCCAGGACAATTACATCAAATGTGGCATAAACCAAGGTGATGGCTATCCCCAATGCTGTTCTGCATAGCCCTCAACTAGGTTGAAGAGGACCCTGCTCAAACAAGCTTACAGTCTATAGGAGGTGGGGCATAAAACACATTAGGACAGGAAATAACAATCAAATAAGGTGGGAGTGAAGCAGAGCTGGAGGAGATAGTAGAGTGCTGCCCTTTAGGAGAGAGCAAGGCACAGGTATGTAAGGTAGAGGTTACTCTGGGAGGCCATAAGCTTTCCTGAAGAGATGGGTTTTAAGGCACTTCTTAAACTATTGAAGACTAGGGGAGAGTCTGATGGGGGTAGGCAGGCTGCTCCATAGGAAGGGAGCCACCCGCAAGAAGTCCTGCAAGTGTGAGTTGGCCATATGGGTGCGAGCAGCGGACCGGAGAAGGTCACGGGCAGAGCAGAGAGACAGAGCCAGATACCTATGGATCTGTGAGGAGATATAAGAGGGGCTAGAATTGGTCAATGCTTTATAGGTATGGGTTAGCACTTTGAATTGACTCCTATAGGATACAGGAAGCCAATGTAAGGACTGACAAAGGGGTGATGTGGGAGAGGACCGACTAGAGAGGAAATTCAGTCTGGCGGCAGCATTCATTACAGACTGTAGCGGGGCAATACGGCTTTTGGGAAGATCAATTAGGAGAGGGTTACAATAATCCATGCGAGAGATTACTAGAGCATGGTGTGCATTAATACCCTGAGAGTTCCCATTAATACCCTGAGATTTCCCATTAACACCCTGAGATTTCCCATTAATACCCTGAGAGTTCCCATTAATACCCTGAGATTTCCCATTAAAGCTGTAGTGTAAATTTGATTCCTGCTCTTCTTCAAAGCAATAGCAGAGATGACAGCACAACACAATAGCAAACGAATTTGCAATATATTTCTAGACAGTCTGAACGGTGAATCACAAAAAAAAAAAAATAATAATTCACGGAAGGGACACATGGAATTTGAAGCAATGACGTTACCTCGTTGACAGCACTTTTGTCCTGGGTCCTGGTAGTTCCGATAAGTCTCACTGCATTTTCGGCTCCTTCAGACACAGCTCGTTCCACACGATAATGATGTCTCAGCTCCTCAATGTGGAGCTCAGTCTGTGATAATTCCAGGGCCACTAAAGGACACAGACATTTATGATAGGAATGGATAACTAAATTTAAGTCAGCTACAAATATCAAAAGTTGTGATAGAGGTCCTTATTATACCTTAAAGAAATAGGTGGAATGCCACATATGGGGTGGATTTGTGGGGTGCAGACAGTGCTATGGGGTACAGGCATACATTTGTTTTGCAGTGGTGGATAGCATGTAGCGCACAGGCACAGATGTGTCTATGGAGTGGAAAGGAGTTAGACGTATTATACGGGGAGCAGGAAGGATCATGGGATATGTAATGCAGTGAGTAGTATGGACCACTGACATACTCCATCCAGTATTGTATGGAGTAAAGCCAGGGTTTTGAGATATGGATATGGGTAGAGATGTGTTTTGTAGGATTTAAATAAAAAAAATACCAATTGCATTCTTTTTTTGACTAAACTAAAATTGTAAATAGTTTCAGAATATTAACTTAAACAACATCCATCATTTCAGTATTGTTCAATCTCATTTACATTGCAGACCTCATGTAACTAATAATATTACAAGATGGCAGTGCTCTCCATTAAATAATATTATAAAATGTCAGTGATCCCCATTAAATAATATTATAGGATGGCAGTGCTCCCCATTAAATAATTTTATAAAATGTCAGTGCTCCCCAATAAATAATATGATAAGGTGGCAGTGCTCCCTATTAATTATTATTATAAGATGGCAGTACTCCCCTGTTAAATAATATTATAAGATGGCAGTGCTCCCCATTTAATAATATTATAAGAAGGCAGTACTCCCAATTAAATAATATTATGAGATGGCATTTCTCCCCATTAAATAATATTATAGGATGGCAGTGCTCCCCATTAAATAATATTATAGGATAGCAGTGCTCCCCATTAAATAATATTATAAAATGTCAGTGATCCCCATTAAAAATTATTATAAGATGGTAGTACTCCCCATTAAATAATATTATAAAATGTCAGTGCTCCCCATTAAATAATATTATAAGATGGCAGTGCTCCCCATTAAATAGTGCGGCGTCCCCATGGTCCTGGAAATTAAACACATCTCTACTCCGCGATCCGGAGATTGTCGAAGTGGTGCGGAAGGAATTAACTGACTATTTTGCTAGAGAAACTGACCCGGACCTGTCGAAGGTGATGGTGTGGTCGGCTCATAAAGCAGTGATCAGAGGCATACTTATTCGTGAAGCAACACTAAAGAAAAAACGTAAAACCCTCTTATTATCATCCCTCCTGGAGTCGTTGCGTAAGGCTAAACAAAGACATAAAACTGATTCTACACCCGCTAACCTACAGGCGGTTCAGGAATTGAGAGCCTCGGTTCGAGTAACGCTGCTAGACGAAACGGCACGAGCTATCATAGGGTCTAAACGGACATATTTTGAAAAAGCCAACAAGATGGACACCCTGCTGGCGAAGTCCCTCTATCCACGGCAACATGGAACCCACATCATTAAAATCAAAGACACCTCAGGTCAATATCATACGAACCCCACAGACATAGCAAAGGTATTCACTGAATTCTTCGCTAAACTATATAATCATTCCACAACAGATCTTGCTGATGTGCAAAGCGAAAAAGACAAGATACAAGCTTTTCTTGCAAGGCTGGACTTGCCAACACTCAATGAGGCGGAAGTTGACGGCTTGAGGAAACCGATCTCGGCGGAAGAAATAGACTTGGCAATCTCTACATTGAAGAGCAACAAAGCACCGGGACCAGATGGCTTTGATGGCACCTATTACAAAACCTTTAGGGAAGAACTCACTCCATATATAGAAGCTTGGTTCACCGAATTACTGGATGGAGGTCCACCCGACAGAGAAATGTCATTAGCGGACATTGTCTTACTGCCGAAACCGGGTCGAGATCTTTCAACACCAGAAAACTTCCGCCCGATATCCATTATCAACCATGATTCCAAAATATTAGCGAAAATTTTGGCTGCCAGGATAAACCCGATGCTGACTCGTTTGGTTCACCCTGATCAGGTGGGGTTCATACCGAATAGGCAACTTTTTGAAAATACGAGACATAATGTGGATCTCATATGGAGACAAACCACAAGGAAAATACCGACGATGTTACTGTCATTAGACGCTGAGAAGGCGTTTGACAGGGTTAAGTGGCCTTATTTGTTTACAATGCTAGATCATTATGGCTTTCCAGAACAATTCACGAAGGCGATACGAGCTTTGTATACTAACGTCAGGGCACAAATTCGCATTTCAGGAGCAAAGATAAACCCGTTCGGTCTGAGCAATGGCACTAGACAGGGATGCCAATTGTCGCCCTTATTGTTCGCTCTTTCGCTAGAACCACTCCTTCAGGTGATTCGCGCAGCCCCAGACATTAAAGGGGTAGATGTTGGAGGGCAAAGATACGTGGTGTCAGCTTTCGCAGATGACGTCTTATTGACGCTGACAGAACCAAGGGAATCCATGGTGGCGCTAACAGATATTCTACAGGAATTTGGAGAACTGGCCGGATATAAGGTAAATATGGACAAGTCCAGCGTATTGTCCATAGGTATGTCAGAGACGGATACCACCTACATAGGGATGACCTACAAATTAAGAATCACAAGAGATCACATTAAATACCTAGGCATACGACTGACAGCAGACCCATCTAAACTATTCCAACAGAATTATACCTTGCTGATTAAGACATTGATGACAGACTTGGAGAACTGGACAGAAAAGGCAATTTCTTGGATAGGGAGGATCCATTCTGTGAAAATAAATGTGCTACTTTGAATATTGTTTTTGTTTCAGGCGCTCCCGATTAGAGTGACCAGATCTGACTTGGGACCGCTCCAACAATCCATAGGCAAATTTATATGGTGGAATAAGAAACATAGGGTCTCACGCAACATGACAGGGGCGGCCTGGGCCTTCCACATTTATATTTTTATTATGAGGCAGCCCAGCTGGCCCAGGTGACAATGTGGCATTCTCCACCGGAGGAAAGGAGATGGGTAGATCTAGAAGCTTCCCTGATGCGGATGGATATGCCCCAGTTTTTTATGTGGACTCCTAAGGAGCATAGACCGAACATAAGCGTGCCTGCCCTGCGGTTTCCAATTCACTAAAGATCTGGGACGCAGCCGCTCCTAAATATGGCTTGATATCCTCCCCTTCTCCATTGACCCCTCAATTGAGGAACAAAGCTTTCCTACCAGGAATGACAGCCCGGGATTTAAGGGGCATAGAACGTGCAGGACTGCAGAGATTACACCAACTGTTCGAGGGGGGGTCGTTTGTGATTTTTGAGGATTTGCAAACTAGAACGCCTCTACGACCCTTTGACTTCTTTAGATATCTCCAGATTAGAGACTATGCCCAAGATCGACAGGTTAAAAAAAACTCAGAGACACAGATGACATTCTTTGAAAGAACGTGCACAAAGGAACAGTTCCCAAGCGGACTGATTTCACTTCTACACTCACATTTGTGTAATAGCACGTTAGAATGGGGAGGTATTACATACATAGACCAATGGGAGGCGGATTTAGGAGAGACGTTGGGAGGGAGTGGAATGGCAGGAAATATGGGAAGCAGCCGCGCAGTCCTCTATGTGTGTCTCGTTACAGGAACAATCATATAAGACGTTATTTCTATGGTAAGCTACGCCGGTGAAGTTAAGCCGTATAAATCATCTTACGACAAACTTATGCTGGCGGGGGTGCGGACTCAAGGGCACGTATATCCACATGTGGTGGGAATGCCCGATCACAAAAGTTTATTGGCAACAAATTGCGCAGTTGCTGCAAGAAATATTTGAGAGGGAGGTTAAGCTAGACCCATGGGTATTTTTGTTAGCTAGCTCTATAGAAAACTAGACGAAATCAGAACTGACCCTATTACATAAGGTGAACCTAGCCGCTAGGAGAACTTTGGCACAGGTATGGTTGCGAAGAGAGGCCCCAGAAATCGCTGTGGTGATTCAGAAAATTAAAGATAATTATTTGATGGATGACCTAACAGCCCCGGTTCGGGGTACAATGAAAAAGTTTGAAAAAGTTTGGGGCCCTTGGGTAGCTAGCGCAGCAAGTGCGTGATGTACACACGAGCGAGACTCCCTTGGGCAGGCTTGGATGGACTGGATTCCTCCGCGCTCCCCCTCCACTTACTTCTTCCTCTTACTTTTTCCTTTCCCTGTACTATCTCTTTCTATCTTCACACGTACCCCTCTTATATCTTTACTCTTCTCTTACTTTTGTCTGAGAGAATTATATACAACTGACCTAACATTGCCTTACAATCTGTAAACAACTGGCACTGCTAAAGGATGTGGTCAGACGATAATAGGTGCAAAAGGATAATAATTCAATAGAGCTAGAGAAAAATACATATGGGGCCCGTGCATAATTGCAGGGGAATGGATGGGGCATGTTCTATTGACAAAAGAAATGTTTGTTTGGCGGTCTTAGCCTTGTTATGTTTTTTATATTTTTCGTGTAAAACAAAAATCTACCAGGGAGGACAGAGATACAGTGCAGTAATGTATGACAGATACACTTCATGTTACTATGTTGCAGTAAGGGGGTGCAAAGATTGTTAGCTCACTGTTATTGCAAATACGATACAATACTGTTTTGCACGGTGTAACAATATATTACAATGTTTTGATGCATCATGTTCTCAGTGCAATGTTCTGCCTTGGAATAAATAAAGAATTAAAAAAAAAAAAAGATGGCAGTTCTTCCCATTAAGTAATATTTTACGATGGCAGCTCTCCCCATTAAATAATATTATAATATGGCAGTTCTCCCAATTAAATAATTTTATAAGATGGCAGTTCTCCCCGTTAAGTAATATTATAAAATGGCAGTGCTCCCCATGAAATAATATTATAAGATGACAATGCTCCCTATTAAATAATATTATAAAATGGCAGTGCTCCCGACTAAATAATATTATAAAATGTCAGTACTCCCCCGTTAAATAATATTATAAGATGGCAGTGCTCCCCATTTAATAATTTTATAAGAAGGCAGTACTCCCCATTAAATAATATTATAAGATGGCAGTTCTCCCCATTAAATAATATTATAAGATGACAGTGCTCCCCATTAAATACTATTATAAAATGTCAGTGATCCCCATTAATTAATATTATAAGATGGCAGTGCTCTCCATTAAATAATATTATAAGATGGCAGTTCTCCCCATTAAATAATATTATAGCATGGCAGTTCTCCACATTAAATAATATTATAAAATGTTAGTGCTCCCCATTAAATAATATTATAAGATGTCAGTTCTCCCTATTAAATAATATTATAAAATGGCAGTGCTCCCCATTAGATAATATTATAAGATTATAATACACCTCATTAAATAATATTATAAGATGGCAGTGCTCCCCATTAAATAATATTATAAAATGGCAGTGCTCCCCATTAAATAATATTATAAAATGTCAGTGATCCCCATTAATTGATATTATAAGATGGCAGTACTCCCCCGTTAAATAATATTATAAGACGGCAGTGCTCCCCATTAAATAATATTATAAGATGGCAGTGCTCCCCATTAAATAATATTATAGGATGGCAGTGGTCCCCATTGAATAATATTATAGGATGGCAGTTCTCCCCATTAAATAATATTATAAGAAGGCAATTCTTCCCATTAAATAATATTATAGGATGGCAGTTCTCGCCATTAAATAATATTATAAAATGGCAGTGCTCCCCATTAAATAATATTATAGGATGGCAGTACTCCCCATTAAATAATATTATAGGATGGCAGTTCTCACCATTAAATAATATAGGATTGCAGCGCTCCACATTAAATAATATTATAAGATGGCAATACTCCCCGTTAAATAATATTATAAGATGGCCGTTCTCCCCATAAAATAATATTATAAGATGGCAGTGCTCCCCATTAAATAATATTATAGGATGGCAGTACTCCCCATTAAATAATATTATAGGATGGCAGTACTCCCCATTAAATAATATTATAGGACGGCAGTTCTCACCATTAAATAATATAAGATTGCAGCGCTCCCCATTAAATAATATTATAGGATGGCAGTACTCCCCATTAAATAATATTATAAGATGGCAGTGCTCACCATTAAATAATATTATAGGATGGCAGTACTCCCCATGAAATAATATTATAGGATAGTAGTTCTCACCATTAAATAATATAAGATTGCAGTTCTCCCCATGAAATAATATTATAAGATGGCAAGACTCCCCGTTAAATAATATTATAAGATGGCAGTGCTCCCCATTAAATAATATTATAAGATGGTAGTGCTCCCCATTAAATAATATTATAGATTGTTAGCTCATTTGAGCAGGATCCTTATCTACCCATTGTTCCTGTATCATTTTGTAATTGTCTCTCTTATTATTACATTTCCCCCTTCCTTAATATGGTAAAGTGCTATATATATTTACGTTGGCGCTATATAAATACCAATATTAATAATAATAATAAAATGTCAGTACTCCCCATAAAATAATATTATAACATCTTTTTAACATCTACCATCACACGTTTTCCTACCTCCGCCTGACCCTGTGGTCTCCTGAGTAGCTCTGCGGATCTGTGTGCGCAGGTTGTGGATCTTTGTGTCACTGTCCGATAACATCTGCTGAGCGGCTGCAAGCATCTTCTTATCCTGATACAAAAATAAATAATAACAAAATATGATCACGATCTACTGGTTGTGTAATGATCACACAAATCATATAATTCCTCTAATATAACACTACACCACAAAATTTTAAACGGATCACTATCAGTCAATTACCATTCTTAAAGGGACAATCTAATCAGCATAAATTAAAGTAAATTTATATAAACAATATACTCACGTGAAGCATTCATAGGCAGAAAGTTATGAACAATTGCAGAATTTGGAGCAAATCCATATCGTTGCTGGAATTTCAGCTTTGCCAATGAATCAAAGGATCAAAAGTCATTTGGTAGATTTGTGATGTCTAAATTCTGCTCCAGTTCAAAGCTCACAGACTATCATTGCATGCTAGTATAGGATAATGAGGAAGTAAACGTCCTCAATATGACATCGGAGGCAGTTGTGTGTTTTAGGGTGCTGGGAATTCCTCTTGTATTTGTAAAACCATTAAAAACATTTGGATAAATAGCAGAGGACATCTGAAGTCGCCTCAGCCTTGTTCAATAATTACTACAATCTTTTTAGGAGGATAGGCAAAATAATTATTCATTCCTTCTCCATTTACATGTAACTCAAAACTTATGTTCGCCTGAGGTTTCTGGTGAATAACGCATTTTGTTCAGTTAAAGAAGATCTCTGATACTCTGCCATGATAAATCAATCATGTTAAAAATATTACCTATCTCGTAGCTCTTCCAGAAACATAAACTGGATACATTTTCTATATAGACAGTTAGAAAGATACAAAGACAGAATGGCAGAAAAATAGATAGATAGATAGATAGACAGACAGACAGACAGATAGATAGATAGATAGATAGACAGACAGACAGGTAGATAGATGGATAGGTAGATAGATAGATGGATAGGTAGATAGATGGATAGAGTTAGATAGACAGATAGATAGATAGATAGATAGATAGATAGACAGACAGACAGACAGATAGATAGATAGATAGATAGATAGATAGATAGATAGATAGATAGATAGATAGATAGATAGGTAGATAGACAGACAGACAGACAGGTAGATAGATAGATAGATAGATAGATAGATAGATAGATAGATAGATAGATAGATAGATAGATAGATGGATAGGTAGATAGATAGATAGATGGATAGGTAGATAGATGGATAGAGTTAGATAGAGATAGATGGATAGATAGATAGATAGATAGATAGATAGATAGATAGGTAGATAGATAGATAGATAGATAGACAGACAGGTAGATAGATAGATAGATAGATAGATAGATAGATAGAGTTAGATAGAGATAGATAGATAGATAGATAGATAGACAGACAGACAGACAGGTAGATAGATAGATAGATAGATAGATGGATAGGTAGATGGATAGGTAGATAGATGGATAGGTAGATAGATAGATAGATAGATAGATAGATAGATAGATCGATAGATGGATGGATAGATAGATTATGTGGGGTAGGTACACAAGTACATATGTATGTGAATATATACACCAATAACCCTGCACTCTATAGAAGTTTTAATTGCAGGGTGCTTAGTAACAGTCTCTAAATATATGTATCCAAAACGTGCCACAGACTTTTCAAAGCAAAAACTTATTTTACGCCATTATACTTTGCATTAAACCAATGTCAAACAGGCACAGTTTTTATGGAAATATAATGGAATAAAAGGACATTTTACTTTGAAAGGTCTGTGAGTTGCGGAACATTTTGGATATATTGTGCGTAATGTAATGCATATATAATAATAATAATAACAAAGTGTTTAACCAGGAAAGGTATATATGCATAATGTACACGCCACCTATAATCCCATTATAATCAGTAATCACCTTGGCGCCTCCCTGGCTGTACATCTGGAGCATATTCTCAGCACCCTGGCGCACTCTCATCTCAATGTTCAGTTGACGCTGTAATCCTGACACTCTAGAATGCTGGGCTTGGCTCAGAAGTCCTGAGGTCAAAGGGTTGGCTGAGATTTTTGGAAGGAGAAATAGAGGAAGTAAATGAGTGTGATACAAAATATCTAGCCTGCTTCACTCTGCAAACATTTTTGTTTCTAGACTTGACATGTAGTTTCTAAGAGCTTAAATAGTGATCGTGCTGATTTAACCCCCTAAAGGACTATAAGGAGTATAATACGAATTCTAGACCAGAATTTGCATATATAAACATTTGTGGGCTTTCGAGTAGCCCTTGTGTATTGCTCTTTAAAGGTTCTTGTGAGCCACTCAAAATCTCGTGGTAAAGAACCAATAATTTAAGGTTAGAGTCACATGTTATGTGGCCTACTGTGACCATTACAAACAAAATACAATTCCCATTGAATTTAGCCCAAGTTAGTGGCCTTTATGTTACCTCCAGCTGGATCTGGAGAATTAGGGGAAGGGTCGAGGTCTTCCAATTCCTGTCTTAGGATCTCCAGTCTCTTTTCGCATGTTCTTAGCATGGTCTCCACATGTCCCAAGTTCTTCCTCTCCGTGGTGGCTTTGCGAAGTCTCTCGGCACCTTCTTTATACATGAGCTCCCTGTAGATTTCCCTACGTAAACGTTCTCGCTCTTCCTCCATTCCCTGATTCTCTCCCCTTTCCATTTCCAGCCGTTGTACTTGCAAAGCCAACATTTCTTCACTTGGTTCACTTAATTTCTCTCTCTCCCCTTCTGTCTCAGGCAGCACCCCTTGCCCACCCCACTCTTCCATTGTACCCCCGTCTATGAATCTCAGCATGTCTTGTCTTCCCTCCTGCTCTGTTCCACCTTTATCTCTACAGGGAGCACAAACCTACAAAACAAAAGCACAGTATAAGAAGAGATATGGTTAAAGCAGGCACTATGCAATGCATTGCAATGAATATTTCCACAGCTAGAATTTGTGCATTCAGGTAGAACATATTGATAACAAGTGATTATTACAAAAATGTAGATAAGTAACATGTTCACATTAATCTTTTTTATGAATTTTAACTATTTAAACTTCTACCAAAGTATGCGCTCAAGATCGGCAAATAAGATAAGTTCATAATTTGCAGTCTATAAGACTACTGGGTAATTTTTTTAAATTAAAAGTTAAATGCGATCCCAGTCCATAATTCTCGGAGCAAGATATTACTAATTTCACTAATGCAAGTGCCGCTATTACTATGCTTGTCCAAAGCTTTTAATCTCATGTAAATTCAAACCAGTAATCAGCAGACATTTGTTTTTAAACATGTCCAAAAGCTGAGTCATATGAAAAGGTTATACACTAGAGATCAGTTTCTACATAACATTTCTTCTTTAAAAGATCACGAGTGTCCCTCAATCTAGCCACTATTCTACTGCAATGCTTTTTACTACATTGCTCAATGAGATGAGCTTCCCCTTCCTCTTTTCCCGTAGGTAGACATGCCCTGTTTTGTGGCATGCGCTCATACAGTTTGAATTTTAAACTGACCTCATATCAAGTAACTTTGTAATAACATTAAGCATATCCAGCGCCATTTCGGTTGTCCCCTTAAATATGTGTGATGCTTAAAGGGACATTAAAGTTACCCACTGCTTCATCTCAATGAAGTGCTCTGGGTGCAGTGACCCTGTCCTTTTAACCATAAAATATTGCAGTTTTCTAAAAACTGTAATATTTACATTGCATGGTTAAATCCACCTCTATTGGCTTTCTTCCTGACAGCCAGTGTAGAAATGCCAGCTGAGCTGACCGAGTAAAACCCAGTCACATGATTGGACAGTCACAGAGGAGGCCATGACATTGCAGGAGGTGGAGAGGTGAGCAGCACCCAGAAAGCGTCAGAACTGGAAAAAAAGGTAAGTAATACAAGTTTACTATAGGGTTATAATGTATATGGACAAATCTATTTTTTTGTGATATTCCTGGTATGTCACTTGTCCCAAAGGGGAGTAACATGGAAATATGTTTTCTAAATAATTGATATATAAATATGTTAAAATATAAATATAATTATGTAGCAATAAAAATAAATTATTCAAAATAAAAACACTATTAAACACAATTTGCATTTTATTTTTACATATACTAAGCAGCCTATGAATGAGATAAGACAACTGAGGACTCATCACTAAGGCACAAAAAAAGGTCCTGGACTCTACTCACAAATTGGGGGTAACCCACAAGTTAACTTAGACTCAAATCAAACACTTCTCTGCAAGTGATTCATAAAGAGAAGAGAATCCTAATGAATATCTAAGAGTTAGCTTTTTAATATCTGTACAAATACAGGAGACACATACATCAAAGAAGGTGAGAGAGAAGATAAAATGTAAAACAGGTGTAAATAGTACGACTTGTATGGCATAGATATTGCAAATGTTATAGAGCCAAACAGCCTACGTATCTCTCATCACAGGAGATATATAAATTGTTGAGGTGACTACTAACTATCATTAAAACTAGCTTTCTGCGACCGGCCTGCTCGAAGGCGAGTATATCCCACCTGCCTAGAAATACATCCTTCCTACCTAATACATGACTGAGTACAATACATGCCCCAACAATCTACTGATAAATCAAACAAAAAACAAAACTAAAAAACTATCTACACCAAGTGAAAATAAAAGCAACAATTAGAGGCTGCCAGGCGCTCTGTTGTTTAATAGCATATAGTAGACAGGTATCCAGTGTTGATGCTACTTGCAAAAATGAAGTAACCAATCACGGTCTTGTTTTTAACTTTAGGTAGAATTGTCCCTCCTTTGGGGTTTTTCTTACATTAGGTCTACTCATTCTTTAGAATTCCAGAACACCTGGAGCTCAACTTTACTAAGCTCCTTGTGTGGTTTCTCTTATCAATATGTGAGAAGTTTAAAAGTTGTTATCTATTGTAATTTGAGATGTTGTACAGGTGGTCCTCACTTTACGACTGACCTGTTTAATGACGAATCAGACTTATGACCAGCTCTCTAGCCCGGGGATTCAAGGGATTCCCCACGTTAGAGAACTGGTCTACGTATAGAAAAGAACATAAACAAGTTCACCAGTGCAGGAAATCCCTCAAATCTATGTTCGGGGAACATTCCCCTAACATATATTAGAGGGATTCCCTGCTCTGGTGCATTTCACTATGTTTGGTGAAATGTCCCGAACAAAGATTTGAGAGATTACCTACTCTGGTGCACTTGTCTATGTTCGGGGGAAATTTCCCTGAACATAGACGTGTACTGGTGCGCAGGCTCTGTATCTCATTCTCACTTACCGACCAATTTGTTTTACGACCAAGTCGTAAGTGAGGAGCATCTGTACAAAGAACCACTAAGGATTGTATTGCCATGTTTCCTTCCATCTGTGGTATCATTTAAAGATATCTGTTTCCTTACTCAGGGAGGAAACTGGCAACTTCTGGTCCACTTCACCTCCTGATCTTTTTATCGGAAGAAGGATAACCCCTGTATGCTAGTAACTTTGGGGATAATTGTCCTCCTTGCTAGCCCTTCATCTCTATCCTGCAACCCAATCCTCTGAGACCTATAAACCATGATTTCTCACTTCAGGTTTTTGGTTGTCGTTATGGTTTCATCATTATGTTGTTTTGGTAGGAACTTTAAAAATAATAATAAAACATATAATAAAACAATTAAAAACTAGTTATGTATAAAACAAACAAAGATGTACTCCTGAAACAAACTATATACACTGTAAATGTGCATAGTTCCTTTTCAAACATAGCTGATGTTTATACAAAATTACATACTTTCTCTTGATTATTACTCCATGATTCATTGTGATCTTACAATTCAGAAGGATAACGTCATGTTGGCTTCAGTAGGAACTAATTTTGGAAGTCTGCTGCCAAATTACCTCCATGTTGGGCAAGGAATAATATGAAATCTACTTTTGTTTGAATAGCTTGCTATGTTTGCATCTTTCTCACAAGGCATTTGTAATTTGAGGGAGAATAAATGTTTTTTCTATACCCTTAAAGCATTTTGCATGGTGGCAATTGTCGCAAATCTGCCGAAGGTGCCAATGCTTCTCCATGAGAAGCACTGAATTGCCTGGAAGATTATCACTAGTGCTATATCAAGCTGTGTTATAGAACTACATCTCCCATGATGCTCTGAATGTCTTTGGAATGCCTTTAGAAAGGCAAAGCATTATGGAAGCTGTATTTTTTTAAACATCTGGGGATCTACCTTTTGGTTGGTCTACCCAATGGATTAGAAGTAAGTAATAGTTATGTTTAGGAGAATGGTGGCATACATCTACACAGTATTTAAAATACGTTGGCATTGTAAACAAAGATATTTATGCTGAAATGTTGTTTTAATCTAAACAGAAAGACATTGTAACCCTGTATATAATAGCTGCTTTTACTTAATACATTTAAAATTCTCTTATTTAGTTGTGACAGATCTCTGTAGTTGGACAGACACATGAATTTACCTTTGGCATGTCCCACATAAATAATAAATAACTAGGGCATAACATAACTATAAGTACATGGTTATGAACCCGCGTCTATACATATTTATGGATTTTTCTCAGTCTACAATCTCACTTGTAATTCCCATGAACTTCGCAGAACATTATCATATATAATGTGTCACCATAATAGGGTATATGTCCTGATGATTATTGCTGCCACATGTTGGAATCTTTTTGTCCTGCGCTGTCTCATAGCTTTGCCCTTGTGTCAATTCCCACATTCCTTCCCGTAAATGGCACCAGATGTTTCAAGATATGCCACGATCCCCAAATTGATCACTGAAAAGGACTTTGATCTTTATCTCATGCTAATATGAATTGCATGGATTGGAGGCCAGGCGTCCAGTCAAATCAAATCAATAGGTTCTTGGAGACAAGTACAATAGCAATTCACTACAGCAGACGTTTAAAGGGACAGTAACATCTGTTCACTTCCTGGAAGCTATGGGCAAATCTCACAAACTGCTGATCTATGCAGCTTTCTGGGACAGCTGCTGTCTGAAATGTGAGTGCCACTATTTTCACAACTGTGACAGGCAGATTGCAATACAGTTTCTAGGCAAGGAAAATTAGGATCTCGTAATCTTCACACACGGTACCTGATTAGAGTTTAAAGAGCACAGTGAGGGTTGGAGTTGACTTTCTTTTTTACATGTAGAAAAAATATAATTGAAGGGACACCATTCCTGGAGCCGACTTACCCTTTTGTGTATTATTTAGATAATTAATTAACTAAATGTAAGCAAAACAAATACATTAAAAATAACATCCAATTCAAAAGATACCCCTATTTGAAGATCATTATTTGGAAAACATATGTAACTGTAGATTCTGCAGACCTCTACCCAGTTAAAGACAAGGCTTAGCCAATCCAGCCTTATATAGCAACACTGAGCAAAGAGGTTAAGGTTTCAGCAGGAGCTGTAGTTCAGCTGTCAGCTTTTCTAATGACAGTGGAGAGAAATCTCCAAGAAAACTTTGCTGTGCAGTGTGATGGTATAATACAGCTGTATGTGATTACTTACATATGTCTTATTGGAGCGAAAAGGAGAACTGCATAGAGAGAAGGAGAAGGATAGAAAGCAATGGCTTGTGGTGCAAATATATATATTTTTTTAAAACATAAAAAAATTAAAAAGATCCATACTTGAAATAACCGTAACCTAAGCTACAAATTGACATCTAAAGGTGATCAAATTTTTTTTTTTAATTCTAATGTAAGTAGGTCTACTAAGTTCTGGAAAGAGTTTAGCGGCTCCATTTATTTTTTACGATGAATAAAACTACTTGTGGTGGTGTCTGTCAGGTATCTGGATTTATCTAATAAAGCGACATTGTCAAGTTTGTTTTATTGTTTTAGCTTTCCTTTCCTTATGCCCCTTATATCTTATTGATTATACTTCCTCCTTTGTCACTTGCTTTTATTTATTTTTATTATCTTCTCTTGATTGTGCTAAATCTTAACATCAGGGTTCACCTACAAAGAGATTTCGGCAGCTTGCCCTCCTGTGAGATTCCTTTGACTGGTGGATTGTGGATTGCTTAAAGGGACACTCCAGGCACCCAGACCACTTCTGCCCATTGCAGTGGTCTGGGTGCCAACTCCCACTACCCTTAACCCTGCAACTGTAATTATTGCAGTTTTCATAAACTGCAATAATTACATTGCAGGGTTAACTCCTCCTCTAGTGACTGTCTACTAGACAGACCCTAGAGGGCACTTCCTGGTTCACAGGTTTTCTGTGCTATAGCATCGCTGGAGGTCCTCACGATGTGTGAGGACCTCCAGCGTAGCTAAAATCCCCATAGGAAAGCATTAAAAAGCATTTTCAATGCTTTCCTATGGAGAGGTCTAATGCATTGCCGTGCATGGCATTAGGTCTTCGCCGCCGGCTGGTGGGATCAGCAGTGTAACCCATTTGCTGCCGGAGGTATAACTCATCGGCATCATTGAGGCATTATTAGCCAGCTTGGAACATGACACTCATTCATTGGCTGAGAGCGAATAGATGAAGCTCTCAGTCAATGAATAAGCAGCAAGATCAGTGGTTTAGCCACTATGGTGCAAAGCTCAACCCCAAGCCGAACAAGGTAGGAGGGCAAACCATTGTAATAAGGTTTGTCCCACTACTGGGGGTAGCACCAATGCACTCCTGGCATCTTAACCACTACATTCCCTAATTTGTCTCATGGAATCTTTGGATTGTGTTGGAATTTTAATGAACATTCCAAAGCAGTCAGCATTGTTATTTCATAAAGATTATATCTTTAAATCATTATAGACATGCTGATATACATTGTTACATCAATGCAGACTTACAGGTATAAACTGATACATAGTTACAGCTACACCATCGTTTGCCACAGACATAAAGATATATAGTGGTACACTGTCACAGACGTACAGATATACGTTACATTGTTCCAGACACACAGTTCTACAACATCACTTTATGACAGCCATACTTTTACATAGAGTCGTATTTACTAAAGTAAAAATTCAAAGTTAATTCAAAGAGAAATTAAAATTGAAGGCTAGAGTAGCAGAACTGAAAGCATAGCTGTCTAAGTGATTTTTTTTCCATATCGTCTATTTTGACCTTTCACTTTGAATACTAACTCTACTGAATAACCCTTATACTGACACATTATTGTTAGTATTATCGGTATTTTATATAGCACCAACTAATTCCGCAGCGCTTTACAATATTATGAAAGGGGGGGAAATTGTTAACTATACACAGACATACATTGTAACTGTCACATTGCTACAAACAGAAAGCTGTGCTATATATATAAAGCACAGTCACATCACTAAAATCACACACACACACACACACACACACACACACACACACACACACACACACACACACACACACACACACACACACACACACACTCTCTCTCTCTCTCTCTCTCTTTCTTATACCAGCTGAAACTGACACACATCTAGAGTCCCACACCACCACCTGACTTCCTTATCACAACCATGCTGCATTTTGCAAAACCAACTACTTCTCTGCCAGATCTCTATGTACAAATCCTTCCATTAACACCAGAACATCACTCCCTTAACTGCTTCCTGTCCAGAGATGCAATGGATCCCTCTGACCCCATCATTGACCCTGATCTGCCAAGTCACTAAGTGCAGGCAACTTTTCCACTAACCTCACAGATCTGAAGACATGCAGAGTTAATCCTCCTCACCCACTGCCTAGTTTCCGTTTTAACTTCATATAGAGGAAGTCCGTTATTCACGTGTACAAAAACAGTGCTGCAGACAAAATGTCACACAGAGAGCACTTCACAGCAGTGATTGCAAACCTTGGTGGCACACTATATGTTTGCACACTACAATTCCCATGATGCATAGCCAGCCTTATAATTGGATGAGCACCATGGGGACTGTAGTTCATAATATGTTTAGTGCTAGGGTTAGCCATTGTATGGTTCACTGATTCTTGGCTTTCCCTGCCTCCCAGACACAGATCTATTTTTGGTCCCCAGTGCAGGATTACTTTATACTGGGGCTGTGCCCAGGGTGGGCTCAGAAAAGAGATTTACTCTCCTAATATGAGGCAGTGGGCGGGCATCCCCTCTGTCAAGCTTTAAGGATAACCCTGCTATTCGTTATCATCAAATTGACAAGTAATTGTTAAATCTCAACACACAATCCAGCAAAATACTAAAACAGAGATTGGAAGCGACTTAAAAACTAGACAAAGGAGACAATGAGCGTGAAATATGTTAATAGAAAAAAAAAGCACAAGAAACATAATGCCAATTAACAAATAAACGAGACACTGTTTGTTCTAAGCACACTGAAAGACACCATCTCACCCTGTTTTATGATGTCACAGACAATATAATATTAAAGACACGTCATCCTGTATTACAATATTACAGAAACATCGCCCTGTATTACAATGTTACATACATAACACTCGGTATTAGAATGCTACAGACAAATCACCCTGTATTACAATGTTACAGACACAACACTCTGTATTAGAATGCTACAGACAAATCACCCTGTATTACAATGTTACAGACATAACGCTCTATTATAATGTTACACACATAACACTCTGTATTACAATGTTACATACATAACACTCGGTATTAGAATGTTACAGACAAATCACCCTGTATTACAATGTTACAGACATAACACTCTATTATAATGTTACACACATAACACTCTGTATTACAATGTTACACACATAACACTCTGTATTAGAATGCTACAGACAAATCACCCTGTATTACACTGAAACATACATAACACTCTGTATTACAATGTTACACACATAACACTCTGTATTAGAATGCTACAGACAAATCACCCTGTATTACACTGAAACATACATAACACTCTGTATTACAATGTTACACACATAACACTCTGTATTAGAATGCTACAGACAAATCACCCTGTATTACACTGAAACATACATAACACTCTGTATTACAATGTTACACACATAACACTCTGTATTAGAATGCTACAGACAAATCACCCTGTATTACACTGAAACATACATAACACTCTGTATTACAATGTTACACACATAACACTCTGTATTAGAATGCTACAGACAAATCACCCTGTATTACACTGTTACACACATAACACTCTGTATTAGAATGCTACAGACAAATCACCCTGTATTACAATGTTACACACATAACACTCTGTATTAGAATGCTACAGACAAATCACCCTGTATTACAATGTTATACACATAACACTCTGTATTAGAATGCTACAGACAAATCACCCTGTATTACAATGTTACACACATAACACTATGTATTAGAATGTTACAGACAAATCACCCTGTATTACACTGAAACATACATAACACTCTGTATTAGAATGTTACAGATATACCACCATGCATTGCACTATTAAATACATAAGTCTCTATATTAGAATGTTACACCTTCACCACTTTGTATTAGAATGTTACAGACAAGGCACCCTGTATTACAATGTTACATACATAACACTCTATTAGAATGTTGCAGATATACCACCCTGCATTGCAATAGTACATACTTATCACTTTGTATTAGTATGTTACAATCTCACCACCCTTTCTTAAAATGTTAGATAGATAACACACTGTATTAGAATGTTACACCCACATCACTCGGTATTAGAATGTTACATACATAAGACTCTGTATTAGAATGTTCCACCTCCATCACTCCGTATTAGAATGTTACATCACCCCCCCTCGACACACACACACACACACACACACACACACACACACACACACACACACACACACACACACACACACACACACACACACACACACACACACACACACACACACACACACACACACACACACACACACACACACACACACACTATTAGAATGTTACATACATATGATCCTGCAAAACTCCAGACTGACAGCTGAAACAAAACATGAACAATGCAGCCCCCTCCCAACCCATAGATTGTAACACCCACCTGTTCCTCTCCATCCTGTACCTCTGCTCCCGGTGGAGTTTGAGGCATTCTGTGACACTTGATATGTGACATGTACCCTCCGGGTGTCACCGCTCCCTACCTCCCCTCACACATAGGATAACATTGTGTCTAGCACACACACGGTGACGGGCTGCCCTTGCCGGTCCCTCCCTGTATTTCCTGTGTATGTCCGGAGCACAGAGCTCTGTGTGTGTGTGTGTTAGTGTGTGTGTGTTCATGTGAGGGGAACTGTGACAGAGCCTGTGTGCCATGAACAGGATAGTATGTAACTGCCTAGTACACACATAAAGCAGCACTGGCCAGTCTACATCCCCTCCACATGGGATTGTTTTGTGTGTTATTATTATTACGAATATTCATTTTTGTATTTTTGAATTTATATAGTGCCAATTTATTCCCAGTGAAATTATATATTTATATATTATATTTACATTTTTTTTTTTTGCTGTGGATGCCTATTTTTTACATTATTTATATATTTATAAAGTTTTGGGAAAAAATAGTGATTTCAAAGGTGCAGTCTAAGCGCCATAACCACTATAACCACTATGGTTTATTGTAGTGACTATGATGACAGGATTTTCTGGGTGCAGTTATTTCTTTTTTTTCTCTTACTACTTTTGAGTGGTTTTTACAGTAGGGAGTGTTTTAACTCCAGCCTTGAACATCCCTTTAAGGTTAAGCAAACCTATTTACTGAGGATTAACTGTTTGGTAATCCTTACCATTCTGCTATCTGTTGTTTCTCTGAACATCTTTTGAAAAAGTGGTTGAAATGAAATCAGAGACTCATATCACCATAACAACTGCAATGAGTTGTAATGGTTATTGTGCTTAGAATCAGACCGGACTGGGCATATAAAGTTGGCACAGGAATTTTTTAATCACAGCAGCCCAGTGAGAAGGGGGTGGGGCCAGAGAGGGGGTGTTTTGTCATCACAAAACACTAACTTATGTTGGTTTAACCCAGCGGTTCCCAAACTGTGTGCCGCGGCGCCCCAGGGCACACAGGGGAGCCGCAAGTTATTTCCCTGGTGCTATGATTATAGCACCGGGACCTGTGCTCTCCCCTACCGGCTCTGCTGGACCATGTAATGCTGCAGCCGTTAGGGAGGGAGGGAGAGTGGACCCTGGGGAGCTCTAACCTGCAGCTCCGCCGGGTTCTCCTCTCGCGAGCTCGTAGCGTTGCCGCGATACTGAGCTCTAGCAGCTCCTGAGGATGCTAGAGTTTACTCTCTCCACTGGGACCACAAGGGCTTCCCCACCGAACCACCAGGGATTACAGGAAATACCCCCTGTCCGTCCCAGGCAGAGGGAGGATATAATTTTTTTTTAATTTTTTTAAAGTATACAAAGTATTTTTTTTTTAATTTGCCCTCCTACCCCCACACCACACAATAACTCCCCCCATACACACACACACACACACACTGCCCCCATACACACACTACCCCCATACACACACTGCCCCCCATACACATAATTAACCCCATACACATAATTACCCCCATACATACAATTACCCCCGAGACACACAATTACCCCCCCATACACACACACTGTACCCCTCACACACACTGCATTCCCCCCCACACACACTGTACCCCTCACACAACCTGTCCCCACACACTGTACCCCTCCTGTACAAACTGCCCCACTTACACACACACTGCACCCTTCACACACACACACAAACTACATCCTTCACAAACACAATGCACCCCTGTACACACACTGCACCCCTGTACACACACACGCATACTGCAACACTCACACACACACATATTGCATCACACACACACACACTACAGCCACTATCCCGGCAGACCCCAGGTAAGTTGTCAAACTGTTTTTAAACAGTTTGACTACTTACCCTGGGAGGGCACTACTGGTACTATAACCACTACAACGTAAAGTAGTGGTTATTGTGCCTGAATTGTTTCTTTAAATAATCTACCAGTGCAACTCCCAAGATTAGGGGCCCAGTATATGCTGCAGCGCTATACATATATACAACCTAGAAAATAGTTTTGACTTGGAGTGCCTTGGAAAAATATTGAACTATTAAGGGCGTCTTGAACCTAAAAAGTTTGGTAACCACAAGTTTAACCCGTTCAGGACTGAGCCAAATGTACATGTTTTGATCAAAATAAAACATAAACAAAACTTGGAATTTGACTATTTGTCTGTTCAACCGTAATTCACCTCTTTCATATTAAATGCACCCACACTTATTATATATCATTTTATTCAAGAGAAATAGGGCTTTCATTTAACATCAAATATTTAGCAATGAAACATAATTTAATATGAATAAAATATTAAAATATTTTTAGAAGTTAAGAAATGTTATTTTTTTACTTCTGCATGACATTTTAACTGAGAATGTTATAATATTGTTTGCTTTTACTACAATAAAATACACATATTTGTGTTCAGCGATGTCTCGTGTAAAAGCATACCCCTATGTACAGGTTTTATGGTGTTTTGGGAAGTTACAGGGTCAAATATAGCATGTTACATTTTTCATTTTTTTCACATTGAAATTTGCCAGACTGGTTATGTTGCATTTGAGACCATATGGTAGCCCAGGAATGAGAATTACCCCCATGATGGCATTTACAACAGTAGACAACCCAAGGTTTTGCAAATGGGGTATGTCCTGTCTTTTTTAGTAGCCACTTAGTCACAAACACTGGCCAAAGTTAGCATTAATATTTGTTTGTGTGTGAAAAATGCAAAAAAACTAATTTGAACGCCAATTTTGCCCAGTGTTTGTGACTAAGTGGCTTCTAAAAAAGACTGGACATACCCCACTTGCAATACCTTGGGTTGTCTACTTTTGCAAATCGTAGGCCACAATGAAAATCGCGGAAGCTCCTCTAGCGGCTGTCAATGAGACACCCACTAGAGGCTGGATTAACCCTCAGTGAAACATAGCAGTGGTTCTGGGACTGCAAACAAGTACGGTTGGGTTTGTCCCCCTGGCCGATCTGCCAAGAGAGTGCTATTTGTAGGAAGGTACTACAGACTAGGGATGTGCATGGGCTAAAACATTTGGTTCGGTTCGGCACTTCCAAAATTCAGGACTTCAGCAATTAGGCACTTCGGTTCAGCACTTCCAAAATTTGGGACTTCGGCAATTTGGCACTTCGGCAATTCGTTTTGTTTCGGCACTCCCGAAATTCGGGACTTCTGCAATTCGGGACTTCAGCAATTCCCTACCCCTACCCCTAACCTTAACCCTACCCCTAACCAGTGGCGGATCCAGAGCCTGATCTCAGGAGGGGCACTTGTAGATTATTTAAAGAAATAATCCAGGCACAATAACCACTACAGCTCAGTGTAGTTGTTATGGTGCCAGTAGTGCCAGGATCCAATCCCAGAGTAAGTAGTCAAAGCATTTAAGAACAATTTGACAACTTACCTGGGGTCTGCTGGGATATAGGGCATAGGAGCAGTGGTATGTGTGAGGGGTGAAGTGTGTGTGAAAGGTGCAGTGTGTGTGTGTGTGTGAGTGGTGAAGTGTGTGTGTGGGAGGGCGGCAGTGTATGTGTGTGTATGGGGGGCACTGAATGTGTGTGTATGGGGGGCACTGTATATGTGTGTGGGGCAGTGTGTGTATGGTGGCACTGTATATGTGTGTGGGGCAGTGTGTGTATGGGGGGCACTGTGTGTGTGTGGGGGGCAATGTGTGTATGGAAGCAGTGTACGTGTGTATGGGGAGCACTGTATGTGTGTGTGGGGCAGTGTATGTATGGGGGCAGTGTGTGTATGGGTGTATGCAGTGTGTGTGAGGCAGTGTATGTATGGGTGGCAGTGTGTGTATGGGGGCAGTGTCTGGGCAGTGGGGCAGTGTGGGGGGCAGTGTATGTATGGGGCAGTGTGTGTATGGGTGGCAGTGTGTGTATGGTGGGCAGTGTGTGTGTGTATGGGGAGCAGTGTGTGTGTGAGGCAGTGTATCTATGGGTGGCAGTGTGTGTGTGGGGGTAGTGTGTGTATGGGGGCAGTGTGTGTATGGGAGGGCAGTGTGTGTGAGGCAATGTATGTATGGGTGGCAGTGTGTGTATGGGGGGAAGTGGGTGTATGGGGAAGTGTGTGTGTGTGTGTGGGGGCAGTGTGTGTATGGGGGGGCAGTGTGTGCATGGGGGGAAGGAGGGTAGGCAGGCTGTTTAATTTTTTTTAAATTTAAATTAAATAAATATATTTATGTCCCCCCTCCCTTCTTAGCTTTATTGAGGAGGAGGGGGACATTTCTCCATCCCTGGTGGTCAGGTGGGAAATCCCTGGTGGTCCCAGTGGTTACAGTGAACTCTAGCCCATAGCTCCAGGACTAGAGTTCACTCTCGCAAGATTTGGAGCGTTGCCGTTCTCGCGAGAGTAGGACCCGGAGGAGCTGCAGGCTGAGCTCCTGGGTCCTCTCTCCCTCCCTCCCCTGCCGTCTGCCAGCACTGTGCCTGCGGACCGGGGAGGGAGACCTCTGATCTCCCTCCCCGGTCCCCAGGCACATTGCAGGGCTGGCACTTGGACAATGCCAGCCAGCATTAGCCGTAAGGGGAGAATCTCGGGGGGCAATTGCCCCGTTGCCCCCCCTGGATCCGCCACTGCCCCTAACCTAACTCCACCCCTAACCCTACTTCTACCACTACTAGCATTAAGGTTGGGGTAGGGTTAGGGTTAGGAGGTTAGGGGGTCAGGTTAGAGTTAGGGTTAGGGGTAGGGTTAAGGGTAGGGTTAGGGGGTAGGGTTAGGGGTAAGGGGTAGGGTTAGGGTTAGATTCCTGTCATCATTCCCTTAATTTTCCCTCCCTCTCCTGTTTTGCCACGTTTCAGAAATCCAACTTCGGCACTTCCGAAATAAGGCACTTCGACAATTCGGCAAATCGGTTCGACACTTCCGATATTCAGCAGTTCAGCACTTCGGCAATTTGGTTCGGCACTTCTGAAATTCGCCACTTCTGAAATTCGGCAATTCGGACATTCGGAAGCATCCGGAGATGCTCAAAATTAGATTAATGGAACAATTTTATAATGGACTAACAGTAGAAATACAAGAATGGGTAAGGGACTGACATCCCCTGACCCCAACTGACGCAGCTCAATGGGAAGATGAATACATGGATGCCCGAAGAAACCAGCACTCCAAGTCTAGCTCCACACGC